CCTGCTAGGGCGACCCTGAAACTTAGGTGGAAGGGTCGGTTATATGCATATCTGTTTGAGGTATCTGGCTCTTGTGACTTTAGTGATTCTTAGAGTCATCTTAAGTAATTATTGATACTTTATATTAACTAACTAGTTATGTGAGAAGCTTAATAATAATTATCATCCACTATCTTATAGAAATATAAGCCTAAGCAGGGTCTATATAATAATCATAATCGTATTATACCCTCTATAAGAAGTAGCTAGGAGGATATGCCTATATTCTTTATCCTGAGTATTAATATTAGCTTCTTTCTCTAGCAGGATCTAGATAATCTTTTTATATCCTCTATAAAAAGTAGCCTAGAGGATATTCCTATTCTCTCTAATTAAGTATTAATATTCGCTCCTTTATATAGTAGGTCCTATATTCTCCTAGTTTTAGCTGAACTTCTTCACTATGGGGAGATTCTTGGAAAGCTTTGGTGTATCTTAGGGATGATGAAAATTGGAATGGGTTCAGCAAATGGCTATCTACCTTACAGAGAGGTCAATATAAGAACATTGACAGAGTTCCTTATCTGCTGGGGATTGCGATGTACTCAGCAACTAGTAAGAAGTCGGCCACCTCTGTACCCTACATATATGACTCTTTCTATGTATACTAGACCTAAGTCAGGGAGGTTTGGGTGATCAACACTATACAACAAGATGACCTGAGGAAGGTTGGGAACAGAATATAGTACGTACTTGACGCATTTTTCGTTCAAAGACAATGGTCGATGTTAGGGTGTTTGGTATTTCCTTATCACTGTCTCGAACCTCCTGATCTTGATTCCTTCTCGATACAATTACTTGAACGCGATTGTAATGCGTACTTAGCAGTTGCTGCATGTCAGTGTCCTGAGGGATATCTCGTCCACCGGTCCATCGACAAGTCAAACTCACTAGGTGGTGGCTGGTGGGATAGAGCAAACATCCGGAACATGTGTGGTGCCATTTTGTAGGTACATTGCAGTAGGTAGTGAACAATCTAAAATGGCTATTGACTTGCTCCTGTGTCCAAACCATATACGTCAGTCGGTAAGATACTCCTCTTCGTCCTCTGCCGACTCCTCCTCAGATCCGAGACTGGCAAACGCTGCGGCTATATTGATTTGCTTCTCTGCGAGAACATGTTCTCCTTGACCATTATCCCAGCGCGCCTCATATCTTATATTGTAACCGTCGACGATCATGACAAGGTCATATTCAACGCGGTAATGGCGTCTGCCGAGCTCATTATCCGGCTTGACTGGCCGGATGTGGCCCTCGGTACGCAAGAAAGTCATATCAAGCTCAATCTTGCCCGCCACTTTAGCCCCTAGTAAACAAACTCAAAGATCAGCAATGAGACATTTCCATTATCCAACGGAGAAAAAGGAAGAGATACGTAAGGAAGGTGTGAAGGCCGCTTCTTACCTCTATTGTTCCTGTGGCCTCGTTTGTAATGGCTCTCGTGGCGTTTGTCTGAAACATACAGATGTTGGTTGCATTTAAACCTCTGCTTTGTGTTCACTGGAAATGTGAACATGGTTCGAAACTTGTATTTAGCAAATGGTGGAACTTCATCGCCCTACAGGCGTGAATCTGTGTCAGCCAACGATACACTAGTTTTGGCCGGGTCTCCGTCGCCATACCTTCTTCAAAACCCAACATATGGTATTCTTCACGTATAAGTCTCCGTCGTTCGGATCAGCCTGCTTAGGCCTGCTTGAGAGATGAGCCTCAATAGCATCAGGATCCCAGGGCTCGGTGCGCAGGTAACCGTAGCTCGATTGGATGATCCTAACCGGTCCTAGTTCTCGATTGAGAGCCCGGAGAACTGCACCAGAAGCGACCGCAGTGTCGCTGCCGCATTCGGGACAATCAGTCTCTTATTTGCCGTAAGCATCCAAGACGAACTCACCGGACGTTAGGGCGCACGAGACCCACGGCTGAGCCGACAATCTCAACTGACCGCTGGCGCAAGACCGCTTTGAGATAGCGATGAAGGGAAGGTGACGCAGCGAACCCCCCAATGAGTAAGACTTTCTAGTCCAGTTGTGAATAGCTGCAATATTGACTACAAGACGATTTAGGAGCATGCACAGGCGTACCTTGACGATGATCCCACTTCTGCGGGCTGACTGGAGCTGTTTAAGCATGAGCTTGGAGATTCCCTCCAAACAAGGGCGGAAAATATCTTTAAAATCCTTTCTGGAGTACAGCGCCGTTAGAGATCCAGCATCATAGTTATAATCTGAGCGGGCCTTGGCCTTACTGATCCAGTCTCATTCGGTGGTCTGTGAAGTTCTTTTCTTGATTCTCCTTGAGCCCTTGTATATAAAACGCGTGGCCTGTGAAATTGCTATCCATGATGTCGCAATTCCTTTTGATTTTGGTTTCAAATTCCCAAACTTGGGATGCAATGATTCCCTCGATGGTTATCGTTTTGCGTGCCCCAGGAGTGGGAGAAACGAGGTAGGTTTCATCCTTTAATCTGTCTTGCAAAATCTCCTCAAATCGTTCATTCAAGTAACTAGAGCCACATAAAGCACCTAAGGTAATGAATAAATTTTTAGCGGCCTGGTTTGTGAGTGTAAGACTTACAACGCACCTTCTGGTTTCACAGCCTCCTTTTCCAGCTGTAGAGGTTCAGTGTTTCTCAATTTATATATCACTGCGTCGACAGTCCCACCCCCAGCATCAAGAACCATGAAAGTATCTCCGGCCTATTGTTCTTGTGCATTATGCGTTAGACAGTCTGGGTGCATATCGGGAATTACAACGGGGTGATGCTACCTTAACCTCTCGAGTTGACGCCAAAACATGGGCAGCAGCAGCCTCCGGTTCGGAAACGATGTAGAGATTTTCTACACTGTTTGATATGGTTCGACCGAAGAGCGATCGATGGCTGGCCTCAATTAATGCATCTTGCATTTTTCTCACTGCCCGTCTTCGCCAGACAACTGGAACACAGAGCACCCACTCGACTGAGTCGTTGTCATTGAAAGTATGCGACGAAATGAGTTGAGCTTTGGTATGCGCAAGCAAGTGCCTTAAGAAGTCAACAATTAAGTCCATGCTGTCTGTGATAATCTCTAATGCCTCCAGTTTCTTTGCAGTCACCTGGAGTTGTTCGCGGAGCTCCCTAGTGTAATCAGTCTTGTCCAACAGCAACTTAGAACGGGTGATTCTCTGAAAGCTGCTGCGATCTGCATCCGGTAGCCTGAAATGTTCAGGTACGGAGAACCCCCAACGAAAGATTTGCTCCGTAACGAGCGGGGCGTCAAGATCCATCATCTCAGCAGAACTCGCTTGAGTGGGCTGGGCGTTCAGAGGATAGCACGTTTCAGTGGGCACTTCCATCGTCAACCCTCGCACACTCTCACCAGCACCGGGGTACAACGAAATGCATGAAATCTGGTGGGTATCTACAAAAGTTCTGTCCTCACCCGGTCTAAGGACTGTGTACGCCACTGCGGAGAACGTTGTTCCAAAGTCCACCGCAACTATGAACTGTCTGGGCTGCTGTCCCTCATCCCCGTCATCTGTACCGTTTGTCGCTGGCAATTCAGGACCGGTGGATGATTGATGAATTTCGGACTCAATGACGTCGTCTAAACAATCGTTTGAGAAAGCTCTGACGAACGTGGGACGCATGTTTTGGAAGAAAAGGTCTGGATATTCGTCTTCCGGATCAGTGCTAGGTTCAAGGACGAGGGTGACATAGAAGTTCCTTTGAAACAGGAAAGTATACCTCTGACTCTGTACCGGCAATGTCTCTGCAGAGCTGAGTGAGCGGAAGTTGCTAAATTCGTTCAGTATCTCGCAAGAAACACAACTGAGTGAACTGAAGCAGGAAAGGAAAACCTCGCTCCCTGCTCTTCGATAGCCCATCGAAGGTCTCCTACCAGGGAGCAGAAGTACGAAGAAGAAGGCTCTCAGAACGAAGCGCAGCTGAACAATGTCGCCTAGCCTAGCCAGAAGTCCGTCGTTTGAACTCCTTCTTGCGACATGGACTGGCGCAGACATCTCTGTTTTGATTGGAGGCCCTAGCAATGCTAAATTTGGCTATTCATGCAAGGAGGTGGCGCACGTATCAGACGACTGGGCCAGCAATGGAGACTAGGCCCATTGGGCGGAAGGTAAATTGCGGCGCAGTGAGGTTGCATATAGTCGCTGCTCAGCCGTGCACTTGCAGTTCCTTTTCTCTAACATCTCACTGCAGCCAGTGTCCTTTTTCCTTGTTTGTACACATATTGTCTACTCGTCCGAGCGACTAATTAACCTGGTATGGGGCGGTCTAAACGGGTCCCTCGTGCGGAGCCCGCGAACTGGAAACCCGACGAGGAGAATGAGCTTTTGGCGTGGCTCGACTACAATCTGGAGAAGAGCTCGGATGGGTTCGCAGCTTTCAAGCAATCAGTTTCTGGGCACCTTCATAGAGTGTGCAATGTCAGCTACACCTATGAGCAGTGTCGGAGGAAATTGCATTCATTGTGGTCGCACTACGGAGACGATAGTGCCAAAAAGGTCGCCGTATTGCACGAGCGTGGCTCCAAGACTCTGACTCTTCTAACGACGGCGCAAAAGGATTCTATATTGGCCAGAGTAATTGCGCTTAGGGAAAGGGACCTGAATTTTACCCGACGTCTGAGGAGTGTATCTCGAAACAGTGCAACTCCATCGCGTCATCAGGGGCATAACCGACAAATAACATCTGCGACAGTGCAACGGCCACAGCTACAAGTTCCTTCCGTTGTAATTTCGCCAAATCGAGTTCGCAAAGCCAAGCGGCCCCGGAGCCAGAGGAGGAAGAGAAGACGTCTTTCCAGACAGGTATTGATCCGGCAAATATGGCGGAGATTAAGAGCTGATTCTGTTGAACTGTGAAAAAGGTCCCGGTCAGAGCTTCGGGTCTGGAAGGATAAGAAGATGGCGAGGCCAGAAGCAACAAAGAAACTGACCCAGACGATACGGACACAATAGACAGCATGGATATGGTCATGGCCCGCGTACCTAGCACCAGGAATGGCAGTGATCAAACAACAGCAACAAATCATCGGACCGCAGAGGTATTGGAACCTCTCAAGTCCGAACTTGCAGCACTCCAGGAGCAGGTGCGAGTACTGGGTGATCTGCAAGATGACACTCGATCTTTTATAGTCTTCTTGCATATGCGTTTGCGCGAAGCTGTCCAACGCGACGAAGTGGCTCAAGCCCGTATACACAGCCTTGAACGGGCAGAGGGGGCACGAACCGATGGTAAGTCACTAGTCTCTGAGATGGCGAATCTGGAGGACAGGATCGCATACTTGCAGAGGAAATTGGACGTAGCCAGGGATTTGGGAAGGTTCACCCAGCTCTCGGCAACAGGCGAGATACGACCCTGGAACCTAAAGTGGGTCGACGAGACAATGGACGATATCGATTTCTACATGAAGCAGCTACTCTTAGATCACGATAACATCGACCATTTTGAGGCCCCAAACATCGACAACGACGTGGACCTGACCGGGTTTATGCGAACAACATTGGGGCTGAACCCCCAGGAGCGGGTTTCTACAAAGAAAGTGCGAACTCAGCTGTCCAGATTAAGTTTGCAGTCAGTTGTACGTGCTTTGACTGCGGCCGCTCTCTGCGGATGGGTGTTTCAGGCTGAGCTGCCCGGTATGAGTCTGACAGACTCAGTGCTACTAGATGAGTACAGGGGCCATCTAAGAACAAGAGGTGCACTATCTTTATTCTTCCTCATGTCTTCCCCTCTATTCTTGCTTCCTTCTATGGCCCTGCTCTGTCTCCACTTTCTGCTATAGTGCTAACAGGGCCCAGATGGAGAGGTTGCCCTTCGGAACCTGGATTTTGCTGCGCACCAATCACTTTTCAATGGAACGCTGTTCCAAGACAACATACTCCCTCGACAAGCCGAGTCACTCGCCTGTCGACTGTCGAAGCTCCTGTCTCGGATTTTCCGCAACGACGACAGCATAGTGGTGCATTCCGCAGGATCGTACGGAGTTCCTTCAGCCCATCGTTTCTACACCTGGGGTGTTAATGAGCGCGTCTGGATGAGTACTCGAGATAAAATGATCAAGATATTTCAACTTGCTCTTGAAATCAAGTATAAGTTCATGCTGAGCACGTACCAATTCGAGGCGGTGCTTTACCCCCCTCGGACGCCCTTCCTAGCAGAGCAGATGAAGCCAGAGACGGTGGAGGGCAGCGACTTGACGACATCTGCCTCTACCATGCATGATCTAGAGGTTAAGCTTTGCTTACTGCCCTCTCTGTATTTTTGGAGGTCTGATTGTATGCGAGTGAACGGCAATACGTTTGTGCAACGTCATCCTTCTGATCGGGAAGAATGTGAACGACTTACGAAAGCAGTCGTGGTTGCCGAGCCACTATGAACTTTGCTATATATGATTTGCTTATCCTCAATGATTCAAACTTATATGTGCGTCAGTTTCGCGATGGGAGATAGTGGGCTGTATTGCCTTAGTCAATGAACCATGGGGCATCATCTGGTAGTCGGCCTGAGAGTATCTCTATCCAGCGTAAAATACCAATCTGCTCACGATCTGATAATGGGTGCGCGCGCTTTCCCTTTTCTGGGCCTGTAATGTATATATTCTGGTCTTCACAGGCGCGTGATAACTTGCGGCTAAGTTCGATTGGATCCGTAAATGACGTGCCATCCAGCACCATGAGGCAGAAATCTGGCGACTCTGTGGTCCAGAAAAGAGGCCTTTTAATCAGAATGGCACCTGTACGGTCCAGACTTTGGGTCGAGCCATACAGACTCTTAAGTTCAATGGGTACGCTGGAACCGCATGCAATGGCCTCATCTTTCACCGAGGTTGGGTTGCCCGCTTGCTTGTACGCGAGTTTCTTTTCAAAATCGAACAGCGAGTTCTCTTCAGCCACACCGCGCAAGATCCAACGCGAATTGGTCTCTGTGGCTTCAGATACATCCGTAACCAGACGAAGATACGCCGCGGAAAGAGCGGCGGCCAGTGAATCGCTACCCGAGAAGCGACGGAGGACACGCACCCCATCTGTCTCAACGGTAAGGTCCGGAATAGTGCCGAGGTGTGGCGTGACGAGGTTCCTGCCGGTGGTCACAACCGCCAGTGTGCGGAGGGCTAATCGAGATGCGACGATGCAATGGATCTCTCTAACCACTTGCCAGTCCTCGCGGAGATAGGTATTGAATAGAACCCGAGCACGGACGGGATGATCGGCAAGAGCATTTAGGCAGTGTGGCCGGTCAGTCCACATCGCCTCCAGTTGGTAGACGGCGTTCATGGTGACTGTGATGCTTTCGACGTCTTCCATCAACTGCAGCAGCAAGGAACAAGTGTCGTGTAAACTCGAGCTCGGCTCACCCAGCGATTCTAGCGTCTTTTGAATCTGGGACGCATCTTCTGGGATAGATAATATGTGGAAAGAGAAATGAACCATATCTGAGTGACGAATGGTGGCATGTTGTCTCCAAGGAGGCAGGTGAGTACTGCTTTGTGAGTATTGTAAATATGGACGAGGATCCTCATTGATTACGATATCGGAACAGTCCTCGAGGTCTCCTGATCGAAGACCGGCAGAGTCATTAACTTGCAGATCTCTTGGGGATGGGTCTAAAGACAAACTATGAGTCCGTCTGGTGATAGACCGGAGAGATGTTAGCGTCACAGTATCTTCCTTCGGGTCAGCGCTAGGCGGGCACTCAGGGTAAATAGACAGAGGCGTCTCGTCCCGCCAAACGTCATCGCGGCCACTGAGACAGCGGAGGACATTTGGCCGAAAGATATCTCGCGCCCAATCACATATGTGATCGACAATAAGCAACATCTGCAGGGCATCATCTAGTGAAAGCATGCATCCGTGCCATAAGTCGATAATTCTCTGCAGCCCCATCCAATCAGTTTAAGCAACAAATAGTCCATGAATCGTAAGCACGAACGTATCTAGTCCCATCAACAATGCACGCATACACTCGCCATTCATCCCCTTGGTTTGCCATAAACCATACCAACGGACTGATGGGGATATGATTCATTTGTTGTAAATCTTGCTGCAGCTTCAGCAACGTTCTCAGGGGAAATGCGCTCTGTCGTTCGACTGACTCAAACCCGGGGCTGCCTTTCTCTGATTTCGCTTCGATTAGAACAAAGGGATATGACACATGGCCGTCCGCAAAAGGGCTGTGTCTTAGCGACTGGGAGCTGCGTAACAGTTGTTTCAGGCTGGTGGTATGCTCCAGGCCGATGATGCGATCCGGATGTCGCTGGGAAACGCCCTGCTCAAGGAGGCGGCGATCCTCACTGTGGTATAGAAAGGGTGTTCCCGACCGATCTGAAAACAAAAGATTAGAACCTGCATCATGACTGCTGGCTGGTTAGTGTCGGCATCGTTATCCCTTCCCTTATAATATCCGTAGGATCCCGGTCAGTTACGTACATATCAACTAACATCCTCTCCACGTTGCTGCAAGTGCATGGTAACCTTTTCGCGCGTCTTTCTCGTAGATTTTCAGCTGCTGCAGCCCACTCGGTCTGCACAGCCTGGAAATCCGCCTCCCAGAACCGCTTGCGGCATTTCCGACTGGGTCATCCACCCTTAGCCACGCTTCGTATGAGGAACAGGGAAGCAACGGACTGTTCCTGGGTTCGCTCACCATACAACTTCGGCCTTAAACCTGGAGGTAATAAAATTCTCGGTCGACCACCTCCACGTTTCTTCATTGACCCTTTGCCTACGGCACCGATACGCCTCGCTACGGAGCTTGGCGGCCTCTTGCTTGATATGCATAACGGTGGACAAGACCGTCAATCGGTGATCTAATCTGCCGTCTCTCCCATAATCATCGTAGGTCTCTTGTTTGATCTGTCGGACCTTGGCAAAGTTCTCTCTGTGCTGAATAGGCCAGTCACGAGGGAGTAAGGGCCCATCAAAGGAGATCCCATATTCATCCATCAGGCGCTGCTGATCCTCAGGTCGGAGGCCTTTCTTTCCGCGAGACGCCATTGCTCAAGATATCGTCCTGGTAGAGATATGTTTTTTTGGCGTTTTTCGGCCTTTCGTCTGCTGTACGCAACTGGGAAGCTCGACGACTCAAGGAGCCAACTCATCACCTGGTCGAATTAGCACGCCACGTGACCAACCACAAGGCTGAGGCAGAGTGCGCCTACAACAGGCAGACATTGCACTGCCTAAGCTAGGATAGAGGCAAAGGCAAGTCGGCCGCTAATTGCGCTTGAAGCAATCACAGATAAGTACGATTTTGGCAGAGGTGTTGAACAGTCTCATGGCCATCCTCTTGAGGTCATGGTGGGGTCCTTTGAAGTAATTACGGAAGTAGCTTAGTTGTCTGCTTCTGAGCTGGTACGCTGGATTGAAGATGTCCTAGGATACGCGGAATGAGTTTGTTTATAAGAGTGCTACTGTCCTTTTGTTACGTCTTTATTTCAAATATGAAATACTATGTCTTTCAGATCTGTGATCTTTCTGTGCTATTCTGTGCTGATTGTTCCTTCAGGAGATAAGCATAGACCATGGGAAAGAAACTCACGACCATCTGGTCTCGACAGCTTCCGCGAGCCGCTTCCACGAGGGCCTCCTGGCGGTAATCGTGAGGATATTCAGCGGACTAAGGGCTAGAACGCTGGCTATGATTAGGTGGATCGACGCGACCCATCCTGATGACTGCCCAAACCACATGTCCGTTCCTTCCGGGTTTGGCTTGTACCCTATTTCCCCAATCATTAACTCGGCCAGGCGCTTGCAGATTGACAACCCCAGGCTGGTGCTGGGGTATGGTTTGGCGGCAGAATCTGCGAAGCGGGAGAATGGGGGCATGCCTGAGTGCACCACCTTCACTCGCACTACTGTGTGGGGTCGCAGCAATACAGATAAATGACCATATGAGGCTTGCGTCTGGTGTGGAACGCCAGTTGGCGGTCTTCTGTTTGCGTTCAGATATAGTACTTCACTAAAACCTGATGTATATTGTTTGGGAACAATAAGAGTCCCAAATAGGATGGCAAAACAGTCAGTTCTTATCACAGGATGCGCCTGGCGGAATGCAGTATCCTGCTGAAAAGTTATTCTATTAGAAGCTTAGAACTAATGATACTGTCCAAGGTAGAAGCTTATAAGGTGGGGCTGGACTTCACATTGCCCTGGAATTGGCATCCCGCAGATGAGGTGTTTATGCAACAACGTGATCCACTAAATCTCTCTCTACTCTGGAAGAGAAAGGAGTTGAGACCTTTGAACTTGCAGTTAAAAAGGTAGAGAGCATTGATTCTTTGAAGAATGAAATAGTGCATAGGATGGTGGGAAATTAGATATGTTGTTTAGTAACACTAGATTAAGTAGTTATATACCACCTTTCTCTTCAGCGCAGTCACCATCTGGCTGCTGGTCTAATGTACTTATTAATAGGAGCTTACTAAATCTCATTTTGTGTCCTAGTGTATGAAGCTCTAGTAATTGAAGCTGATGCTACTTGCATCTGCAGTAGGTTTGATAGTAATGTATTTAGTTTATTCAAAATGCTTAAAGTATTCACTCCTCCTCTGCTATCAATGTGTTCTACGCAGATGAAAATACAAATGGCAGATGGGCGAGCACCGATGCTGTATAAATGATCACTAGAGAAGTTGAAACCATGCCAAGAACAGCATGTTGCTGGAGACCTTCACTCTCCTTCATCTACTCTAACATATTGCTGTAAGAGACTCTCCAGTATAAAGGAGATGTTACTAGGAGACATAAGCTTTGTGGAAACCTCGCCCATAAATAAAGTCACGAACTTTAATACCCAGGGGTTCCAGTTCAATCTATAGAGTCTAGACAGGTCGTCGATCAATACTGAGCCAATCTCCTGAGCTCAGAAAAAGCAGATACATATGGAAGGGCACTATGCATGGGTGGTTTAGCTCCTTCGCGCCGTGGCATTGAGAAAGATACTTGATGGCCTATTCAAAAGGATGGTCAGCCTAGACAACCAGCAGATCCAAAGGGCTATTCTTAAGACAGGTCAGGCCTCTGTGAGCTGGGTGTTGGATATTTGGTAGGTACACCTACATCCACCTGTAGTATATACCTGCTTTTCCATATAGGTACTCTTGACGATATACAGTCAATGCTCCTTGCTATCAACCTTACGAAGTATAAGTAGGTTAGTAAGAGATAGGATCCGTGCGACAACTGCCTAATGTCATCAATCCCATGGACAATTTACAACCCAATTCATGCCATAAGTCGTCCGACATCTTCTCCTCTGTATCAGGCGGAACCCATAAGTGATCTGTGACCTCGCCGTTCAAGAGGTCGGGCATGTAGACCTGAGCATTGGTTGCCTGGTCAAGCAGGTCGGCGCCCTGCGGAATTTGTGCGCAAGAGCCAAAGATGTCGTATACAACAAGGATTGCCGCAGTGGCATATTCAATATGAAATTGAGTACTAGCTCCGGGGCCTCCAAGCAGATGAAGGGGAATGGTGACACTCTTCCTGCGCTCAACTTTTGACCAATGAAAGCTACACCGGACCGAGTTCTAAGCCGTCTTGTTGCCTGGACATGTTGTTATGGAAAAGTGTGAGTCGCTATTATGTTCTGTGTGAAACCGCAAAAAGCTGAGTCCGGCTGGACGTATTTTCGTCTCATCCAGATGGTCAGACCTTGGCATAAGAATAATAGAAGAAGAGAGTAGTTTCATGGGGTTAGCTAGAAGAAGTGCCAAGGATACGCCATGACATGACAGGCGCTCTCTCCACCCATTGCAATGATGATTAGTGATCAATTTGCTCTGATTAGTTAAGAGTTCCGTCCTTTTCCTTACTATATCTGTGTAGTATGCGAAAGTAATCTAATTGAGAAACCCAGGAGACATGGCGATGGTTCTTGGTATTCGTCACTCAGTCACTCAACGAACATTGTCGGCATATTCACTGCAGTAATGAATAGTTTTTCCTTCCATTCCAACCCAAGAACAATACTGACTCAAGTGGCGAGCTACTAACCCGATTATTGCTAACTCGTCGGTAAACTTGATTACCTCGGAACCGTTTGATCACAAATCCAACCCCTTCTGGTTCTACTGGCGCAGCTCTTGTCGAACCATCAACTCAACCAGTCCACATGCCACCAGATCAAACGTCATCAAGTTCAGGAAGCTGATGAAGACACCTCTACGCCGAACCCGCCTATTAGTGATCAGTCCGTATGCGGGCAGACTTCGCTGTATTGACATCCCGTTTATTCATCAGACCAAGCCAGTGATGCCGAGGGGCTGCAGTCGGTCACCTATAGATGGGTTAGGTGCTCGTAGCCATGAGGTTAAATATTCTACAACTGTAGGCCATGGGACCCAGGCTTTACTCATAAGTGTTGGCCATTCAAAGTGCGAAGAATACTTGTAATATTTGCCAGGGGAATAACTTCATCTTTTCATGCTTTGCGCATTGCCCCTTACTTACTATAAATCCGGTCCGAGAGCAAATATATATAAGTAGCATGATTCCCATCTCTACGCCATTTCGCTATCTCCTTTCGGTGTCGATTCAGCTCCAGATCTTAGCTACCTGACCGCTTCCGCACGAAGTTCCAGTGATTCAGTAATATCCACCTAGGGCGAATGGGACTGAAGGAATTGGTACAGTCCACTGGCTCCTAAAATCACTTGGCATTCGTCATGTTGACCTAGATACAATGGATTCAGTATATCTAAAAATATATATAGTCCTATATACTCCGGAGTAGCAATTTTACCTCTAAATACTTATCTACGCTTTCGTTCTCCTCACCATGCTGGTAAAGAGCAGAAAGCTTTGCAGACTCTGCACCATAGAGAGCTATGCAGTGTTTATGTACTCTCCACACCGTTACACTCGAACGCTATATTGCCAATTTCCTCCTCAGAAACTTCCGATGCACAACTTCTGCACTATAGAAGGATTAGCAATTCAAGGCTTCTTAAAAAAAAACTGATAACAAGTATGGCATTCTACGTTTCGAGGTTGGTGCTTCTGTAGGTACTGAAGAGATAGTTCTATTAGTCTTGAACATATTAAGGACGAGTAATTTTGGTGAAAAGAACGCTTAAGATGGCGTCGAAATTGAATACTTCCAAGATTAATAGCCATCTCTATCAGCCACTGCACCGTAAGCTGGGCCACCTTTTCCCAGGAAGCCCTTCAGATCAGCCGCCAGCAACTCCGGCACCTCCCATGCAGCAAAATGCCCACCGCGTTCAAACTCCGTCTCTCTCACCACGTTTCCAATGTCACGGTACCACGCCCTGGGCAACATGACAAGCTCCTTCCGGAACTGCGCTACTGCGAACCGCACATTCTGTGGGGCGCGAGCTCCAAGAACCTGTCCGAGCGTCATTGACTTCGTCTCCGCCTGCTCTTTCTGGTCCTGTGCCTCATTGTTCGGCACCGAAGCCTCGTAGTAGATCCTCATCGAAGCTGTTGGTCCCGCACTTGACCAATAATACACACTCACCCAGGTTAAGATCTCTTCGTCTGTCCAAGGGTATCCGTCGGACCAAGAGTGCATCTTATCATAAATCCAAGCCAGCAGTCCTACAGGGCTATCTTGCAGCCCGTACCCTAATGTCTGGGGCCGACTCTCCTGCTGTCTCATGTACGCATTGTCACGAGTAATGTATTTCAGCGTGCTTGAGAGTGATGCGCGGTCTTTCGCCGAGAAGGGTACTGTTAGCAACGACTGAAGAAAGCGCAATGGCCGTCGCCATGGATAAGGCGGGATGACGGGAATGAAGTTCAGGTGAATGGCCTGGATGTGCTGCGAATATAATTGGGCCATTGTGCGGCCGATCATGCTGCCCCAGTCGCCGCCTTGGATTACTGGTAAAGGGATTAACTGATGGGTGCTGCGTAGAGGGAAATCAGGGGAGACAAGCCGTAATTTTCATAACCCATGGTTGTCATGATATTGTGGAGAGTCTCGGCGTACTGGGCCAGGCCAAAACCTTTCTAGAATATGGTCTCACATCAGCCGTTCGCCTGGACTCGCATCGTTGTTCTGACCATCCTATTAACACACCTCTTGGACCCCCTGCGAGAACCCAAAATTGGGCAGTGAGGGCGCTATGACATCGAACGCCGGGCCGTTGCCATCATCGATCGTGAGCAGTGGAATCAGCTTCGTTGCCTCCAGGAAACTGCCCGGCCCTGCGCTAATTCATTAGATAGAACTATACGCTGATCTGAGAGAAATTCAATGTATTCATACACCCGTGGATAAACAGGAGGGGCACAGCTCTTGGATTCCCACTCCGATGGTGTACAACGTGCACATCCAACTCTCCAAACCGAGCAACAGCGACCCGAACAGTGAATTGCTTCAGCTGCTCATTCAGCTTCTGTTCCTGTGCGCGCCAGTCAAATTGCTCGCGCCACACAGTCACTAGCCGCCGGATCTCGGCGACCGGGACGCCCATATCCCAGCCAGCACCGTCGAGTTCATCAGGAAAGGTCGCCTGCTCGAGCTTCTGGTGTATCTGCTGTAGTTGAGCATCAGAGACGGCAATTTTGAAGGGGGTGATAGTGCTCATGGTGGTAGCGTGAGTTGATTGTCAAAAAGCTGCAGGGGCATGGTTTTTCAGTGCGCGAGAAAAAGTTCGATTACACGGAAAGCCTAGCCCTAGGCATGTGCTTCTGGACTAGGGGGTCGGCAAGATGAGAAATCAAGATTACTTTTTGTTAAATAATGTATTCGCAATAAGACCTCGGCAGACTAAGGTACTGTTGTTGTTCTTGTTGTTCTTGTTATCACAAGGGCAGGTGCTTTACCTAAAACGGATATAAAGCGCCGGCTGCGCTACTACTCTGTCATATCCCTGATATGCCGATCTGTGGGTCGCGCGGGGAAACATGCAGCTAACATGTTTGACGTTTGTCTAGGGATACTACTCTTGGGGCTGCCTAGTTAGCGATAACAGCTTACACAATGCCATCAGTTACATGACACACAATGGTGCCTGCAAGCTTAAATACACGCAGCTATGCCACCAGGACGGACCCAAATTACCAATATCCCCCAGTGTACTGCGTCCGCTGACACGAAACTCTCGCAATCATGATTCTTGCTGCTCTTGAGTTCTCGCCGGTGCAATTTTTTGTCTTACTTGCTGGAACAGCCACTGTTGCACTATCCCTGGTAAAGGCGGCCCAGTTCTTTCATGGTACAGAACAGTCATCAAACCGGGAAGAGAAGAAAACAAAGCAGAACTGATGATGAGATAGAGCGGAAGTATGCTCATAAGCATGGCTGCAGACCACCTAAGCACAGCGTGTCGCTTGGCCCGTTTGGCTTGGGTATGATCATGACGATGCTGGCCGCAACCCGTGAGCACCGCTTCCTCGAGCAGGTCCGCAGCTGGCATCGCGCGTATGGCACTACATTCAAAGCGACGATGATCGTTCGGAAGGCTATCTTCACGGTGGAGCCTAAGAATGTCCAGACGGTTCTCGCGCTGAAGTTCAAAGACTTTGAGCTCGGCGAATACCGCAACAGGGCAGTACGGCCACTCCTTGGATACGGTATCTTCTCTACCGATGGCAGTGTATGGGAGCATTCGCGCGCCCTCCTGCGCCCCAACTTCACACGCAACCAGATAGCCGACATCAGCGTCTATGAGACCCACGTTGCTCACCTTATCAAGCAGATTCCGCGCGACGGTTCCACCGTAGACCTGCAGGATCTATTCTTCAGAATGGTAACAGCCCATACTGCGCTCTTCTCGCACCCACGTCTGACTGACTCATGGTAAGACTCTTGATTCAGCCACGGAGTTTCTGTTCGGAGAGTCTGTCCATTCGCTCGGCGATGCTGCCTCTGCCCCAGCCTCATCGTTTGCCGCAGATTTCAACGCTTCTCAACGAGGATTGGCCCTCCGCAGTCGACTTGGTTCGCTCATGATGTTCTACCGAGACAAGCAATTCTCCAACGCGGTGGCTGATGCACGCTCTTACGTCGATCGGTTTGTACAGAAGGCCATCGATTATCGGATTGCCCTTGACAATGGTCAATATGTTTCTGAGGAGGCTCGCAAGGTCAACGAGCAACAGTATGTTTTCTTACATGAGCTGTCCAAAAGGACGCTCAACAAAACAGAACTCACCGACCAGCTCCTCAATATCCTGCTCGCTGGTCGCGACACCACAGCCAGCTTATTGAGCATCACCTTCTTTACGATGGCGAGAAGGCCCGATATCTGGAACAAGCTCCGACAGGAAGTATTGGCACTCGGGGGTCGGAAGCCCTCATTTGAAGATCTAAAATCAATGACCTATCTAACATGGGTGTTGAACGAGAGTATGCATCGCCCAATCCGCCCTAGAAATCAATATAGCCTAACAACTTCCCTAGCTCTGCGCTTATACCCCGTGGTTCCCATCAACGTGCGCATGGCCAACAAAGACACCGTCCTTCCAGTCGGTGGCGGTCACCGTGGAAAGGACCCTGTCTTCGTCCCCAAGGGCTATGAGGTGATATATTCCGTATACACAATGCACCGCCTGCCTGAGATCTTTGGAGATGATGCAGATGAGTACCGGCCGGAGAGATGGGAGAAACTGAAACCGGGTTGGGCATACATCCCATTCAACGGTGGTCCTCGCATCTGCCTCGGGCAGCAGTTCGCGCTTACCGAGGCTGGATACACCACAGTCCGACTCATGCAGCAGTTCGAGGCCATCGAGAGCCGGGACCCCAAACCGCTTACAGAAGGGCTGACTTTGACCTTGGCAAGTCTGAACGGCACAAAGGTCGCGATGAAACCGGCCAAAGGCTCATAACTGGTATGGTGAAGTTTGCTATTTCAGTCCCTACGTCTTGTGTCAAAACTGTGGCCATACTGGCTTCAGCAGTTCCATTCATTCTTCTTCCTACAGCCTCTATGTGCTTGCCGTACTCCCGTCATTGCTCATAGCACGTAGGGGCCAGGGGTGTATTCTGTTACCGGACCTTGCTAATGCCCCTGGAGCTTCCCTCTGTCCTACTTCGCAACCTCTTCATTCTGAGCTTCTTCCTTTCCTGCGTGCTTTTGTTATTTTGTTCTTGTATTTAGGATAATCATACTCGTACAATTTACTCTATCCTGTGACATCTTCAACGCCTCAATAAAGCTAGAGACACCACCAGAGTTTAGTCTTCGTGCTCTTGCTCTTGAACTATACAGCCACATAAACAGCTAAGGATAATATGACAACCCAGCTCATACTACGCAGTCAGAGAATACTCAAACACGTGCTACCAGTGCCGCTGAGAATCGCATACCTTCATTTTGTACCGTTACAATCTCGGAATCACCCAAGTACCCGGTAGGAGGGATCGTACACCCATGTTATGCGGGGACGAAGGTAGTGTAGAATTGAGATAAATAAAGGTCCCCTGGGAGATAGCGCTGCAGAACTGGACAGAAGAGATGAACAGCGTTCTCTAGCAAGGGCCGACACGAACCATTGTCTCCAAACTATGTCGACAACTTCTTGCCCGGTCCGGCTAGACGCCATGTTGGCCCGAGTACATCTAAAGTCTACGGTATTACTGCAACATCAAGATGCGTTTCGACCAATTCGAACCATGTCCCCGCATACCCGGATTTTCGGGACGCTCTGACGCGGTGAACAAAGTCTCGTAACTTTAAAGCACATTCCCTGTGGACAGGAAATAAAGACAAACTGTCCAACGTTTCCTCCCATGGCTCTTGAATCTCAAGCATTGCCAACGTCAAAGGCATTATCACTGGTAACGCTCTCGATTCCTTGCGGGCTGGACGGGCTAGAAGGGATATTTCCGTGAAGATGCTCTTTGCAAAGGATATTGCAGTATCATCTCGGACTCCGAATGGATAACGTAGGCGATGTACTATCAATAGAGCGGCCAACTGATAGACTTTTGCCTGTGTTACCATTCCCAAGATTTCATGTTCCGCATACAGGTCAGATAGGCAATGCGGTGCCCGGGGCTTCCACTCTCGAATTGTTTGCGCTATCTCAGCCAGCCTGTCATGAATCCCTTGTTGAGATTCGATGTTTGCATGAAGGGAATTCTTTCTTAGAGCATGGCTGCACTGACAGATATCATAGAGATGGGGTAATAGTGTCGAGCAGAGGCCCACATACCGATCGACAACGATGCGATTGGGAATAGGGAGCCGTACGATAGGAACTTCGCGATGCACGAGGCATTCGACAGTGTCGATAAGAATTGGGGCGAAGATCACTGTATCCATTTGCGGATCCTGGATCAACTCTTCATACCATGGCTTGGCTGATATAAGCGAACTGCGTATGATGGAGCGGGCCTTTGAAGAGCATGGCTCAGTGAGTACATTAAATACATACATTGCCTGGCCCAAAAGCAATGTACAAGCAGCTTCAAAGTCTCTTGTGATAGTCACATTACGCAACGTTTGTAGGCCGTTTGCAGCCTTGGACATGTTCGGCTCATCTCGGCGCGCGGTGAGGGGATTTTGATATCCTGTCATCAAGCACAGGAATGCCAGGTATCCTTCCGTCAAAATCGGTGCTGACAATCGTAAGATTGTATAAAGGGAAATCTGGAACTCGGACGCAAAAGTGTGTCCCATCATAAAGGGAGCGTGTATCGCTGTGAATCGGTCCGCGTCCATGACTGTACGCAGGGCATCCGAAGTCGTGCGAAGACAAGTGGGAGCCGCAGGTAATCTTTCTGGAGGCAAGCCAATAATACTTCCGTCATCCTCCCCATATGCCCAATCTTTGGCTGTGTCAGTCCAAAAGACTCGCTTCAGCCATTGGTTGAAAATACTTGGCGGAGGGTGGCTCTCGCTTCGGTAGTTTCTGTATCGGTGTTGTTCGACGCCCCAGATGAACATTTTCCCATTTGGGAAAGTTTTTGCAGCAGGCCGGCGACCCAAGCGTGGATTTTGTCGAGATTGAGAGCACACAACTTGAAGGCGATGGCATAGGACACAGGAGAATTGGTCGCCCATAAAGGTACATTTTTGTTTCTTCCGATGACAGCGATCGCAAGCGCCCATACTTTCTCAGAGGTAGCACGGCACACGGTACACAGTCAAGATGCTTAGCAACAAAATAACTAGTTTGCAGAATGTTGGAGAGGCCACAAGCACAGGACATGTTAATGACGCATGAAGGAGGATAGAATCTTAAGTACTCTTGGTGACACCCCCTGGCTTACCCCGCCTTCTCTGACATGTGCGTAAAAATAGTCAGCCGGTGAAGCCAATTTCAGAAATAGCGTAGATAAGATCATGTTGTCATGCTCTATCCTGCGCTTTTTCGGGACTCTCCATTGTATTACTCCTAGTCTGCTTTATAACACAGTTCTTAGAGGCATAAACTCTCTCTTTCCTCTGCCTGCTTCCTTTCCCCTTCTGCCTTGAGCAAAAGCGCCTTGTAGTCCGGAGAGCTGCTCCCACTCCCGCGGAGGATACTTCGGTATGTGGATGCTAGGAAGTCAGCCTTCAAGCAATCAGTTTCCAAGCACCTTCGTAGAGTCTGCAATGCCAGCTACACCTATGAGCAGTGTCAGAGGAAATTGCATGTGGCCGGTCAGTCCACGTCGCCTCTAGTTGTAGATGGCGTTCATGGTGACTGTGACGCTTTCGACGTCTTCCATCAACTGCAGCAGCAAGGAACAAGTGTCCTGTAAACTCGAGCTCGGCTCACCCAGCGATTCTAGCGTCTTTCGAGTCTGGGACGCATCTTCGGAGATAGATAATATGTGGAAAGGGAAATGGACCTTATCAAAGTGACGAATGGTGGCATGTTGTCTCCAAGAAGGCAGATGAGTACTTGAATATGAATGAGGTTCCTCATTGAATACGATATCGGAACAGTCCTCGAGGTCTCCTGATCGAAGACCGGCACAGCCATTAACTTGCAAATCTCTTGGGATGGGTCCTAGAGACAAACTATGAGTCCGTCTGGTGATAGACCGGAGAGATGTTAGCGTCACAGTATCTGACTTCGGGTTAGCGCTAGGCGGGCACTCAACATCCTCTCTCGTCCACGAAGCCATTGCTGCCGGTCAGCAGTCCATGCTCCGTCATCTGCTGTCCACCTGTAGGTATTCTCCCAACTACCGTCCTCGTGCAGCCCCCACTGTTGCTCTTCCACCACTTTCCTACGCCATCGCCCAGTGCGATCTCAACAATACCAGCGTCCAGAGGTGCCTGATTGTCCTACTCTCCCATCCACAGCTGGACGCCAATCTGCGCACACCCATCTTCGGTGTCCATCCGCTCCACTTTGCACAGCCCATCATGATCCCGATCTCCTCTCGGGATTCATTCTTGACAGGTTTGCCACAGCCGGGGTCACGACACTTGGACACACGCTACTCCATGTGGCTTCCTTACCTCTGACGAATTGTCAGACTGTTGCCGCCAATCCAGACGTCGCCAGAAGCATTCATCGCGCCCGCACGCTTGACTCTTATTAGCCTCCATATCGACTTCCCAGTCCGGTCTACATGCAATTTCTGACGCCTGGGGAGACAGGTGTGATTCATCCGCAGCCCATGACAGTAGCCCAGCAACAGGCCCAAAAGGCCACGATTTTGGCGGCGACCTTGAATATGGATGAGGAGACTGTGGAGCTGGTGAGACAGATGGATGGTGGGGAGGCAGTCTGGTAGGAGGCGACGAACTACTGGGGTCTGACCCCAAGGCAACTATGGGGGGAGTAGTATACATAATGACAAATACATATGTGGTAGGTAAGGTAGGTTATCAAGGCCAAGTAGCCAAGTACACGATCGTAAGTATTCTCCTACTTACTGTTAACCGCCCAGAGCACTTTCACTTCGAGGAATTCTCTTGCTCAATATCCTGCATAAGTTGCTCCAGCATCCTTGCTTCATCCTGGTCCTTTCCAACTCATTCTGCTCAGATATCCATCTTAGGTAGGCGGGAATTCTGGAATTCCCGCCTGTCCCTTGAAAACTTGGTGTCGCCCTTCCACAGATTGGACTCTGGGTAATCTAGAGACTCTACAGAGACAGATCCACTCTCCATAAAACTAAAAATGACATGCGCGCCATTTTTAACGAAGGGGACTAGAGCATGCAAATTGGTCTAACCAAGGTTAATCAAGAAACTTAAGTATAGTGCTAGGTACACCTCCATGAGTCCACTTGAACAGGATCCAGTATGAGATGGCATATAATGAGCATGAAATGCATTAGCATTGGTAACCGCATAGTACCCCTTGCCATCAAACGCATCACAAGGGGGTTTCATTTTCCATGGGCCTGCAATGGAAATGTTAGCCTGAGCCTAATCATTAATCCATTGGATATACCCACGTTGCCACGCCTTCCACCGAATATCATCAAATGCCTCCATGTCCCGCCATCGTTTCCACCTCTCTTCAAAGGTTTAGCAATCCACCTACATAATAACACACTGCCCTTTGGCTAACAGCTGGTGGACAATGTCTGTTTGGTTCCATACTATGCGGTCGGAATGGCTCATTACTAAATGGGGAAACTTCAACGACAGATACAGGGGATCTGAAGTTCTTTTCCGATTCTACAAAGTCTGCTTAGCAATGGACACTATTCATCCCATCAGTCATAATTTAATAGTCGCTTCCTCTCAACCAATCGTCCAATAGGAGCTCCTTCGCGGTTGGTCTGTCCTCAGGCAGCCACCGTAATGCCTTCCGTACAAACCCAAGGAAAGGCATCTTAACATCGCCCTGGAGTCGACATTCACGACTCTCAAGGAATTGCTTGGGATGTTGACAGAGCTCCTCTAGTTGCCTGCAACGGATGAGCTGTGATCTAAGTGCTATGAAATTATACTACACTTACCATTCTCATCCCAGAACTTCAGAGATTCTTCGCTTCGTCTAAGAAACTCAAGAGGGGGTGGTCCCAGAAGGGAAATCGTCTCCGCAAAGCGCTGAGCGTGGTCTGTATCATTTTCAAGGGGTTGATCTTGGAAAGATGTCCTTGCTCGAACAGTATCCATGCCTAGGGACGAGAAATTAATGGATCCCCAAACACTCGATCGATACTCATGCCGTTTGACCGACGGCCCATATATCTTCCGAAGTTTTTCATTAGTAGGCAAAATACTAGTGATGGTAAAATAAAAGTAGCGCTTTTCTGATGGTCTGTTTAGATATTACATCATCTAATACAACCTCTGATAGGTAAGGTATCTTTGCCTCTCTAGCATGGACCCAAATCCTAATTTCTGCAAACGGCAGTAGATTACTTCATTTTTGCCATACATACCTACAGAGTTTGACTGCACCTTTTGATAAATTGTTCAATGAAAGTCTCTATCATCCTATCTAGCTCCTAGCTGTATTTCCGTATATACCTCCCACAAGTTTCACCAGGTTTACCAGCAACAGGGGATTCGCCAACGCACACCAAGGAAACAGCTTCTCATCATGTCCCAACCAAAAGAAGACCCAGAGAAGCTAGCGGATCAAGTAGTCTATTTCTCCTTACGCCTTTCCTCTCCCGCGACGTTTGCCTCAGCGGTCGACGGGGCATTCGCGCATGCGGACCCAGAAGAGGCCCAATTCTACCAATACCTAAAGCAAAACAACCGAATCCAGTCCGAATTTCACGCCACTCTTATCCATGTCAATGACCGCACCGCAAATCCTGCAATCTGGGAAAAGTACAAAGCAGATTACAAAGAGGCGCTCAGTCGGGAGGGCAGCGGAGACCTCACCCCTAGCTTAGGTGCTGGGGAAATCCTCCCAGATCACCTGGTCTGGGACCAGAGAATCATGGCTCTCGCGGTTAAGATGAACGGCGAAGATGGACCGCTCCCCTGTGCGAACGCAAGCCCACACGTCACGGTCGGGACAGCGGACGATTCGATCAAGGCGTTCGAGAGCAATGACCTGTTGAAGCGGTGGAGGGAAGGTGATCAATCAACGGGTCCAATCTATGCTAAGGTCTTCCCAAGGGGGTATAATTTTGAGAGCTCTATCCAGGCTAATTTTGCTGGGTGATGGTCTTCGTGCATTTCATCCTTGTGCTTAGGATCTGTCGCCTGGGTCAAATCATCCCCTGTACTCCTTAGTCGTCATATATCTCTTTGGTGTTTAGGATGCAGAGATCGCTTACTACTGTCAGAAAATATACTTGCAAAGCTTGAAATGAGAAGTACACCGAACGAACCATTACTAGAGGTGACCAGGACAGGTTCCTTCTGCTGCCAGGTCACCTAGCTTTTCCTTCCTGATAACTCCAATATGCATTCTTAGTGCATAGAGAGTTTCATGACCAAAGACGCTCCACAACAGTTCCTACTCTATTATATGGAAGATGTATGCGTAAGCAGAGGAGTCATAGTACCCTTGCATCTTATGCTTGACATGGGGACACTTAATGTCAGTGACAGCCTATATTAGTAGCACCAAGTAAAATCTCAATGCCTAGCTGAACAACTGTTAAGTTCAGCAGATACTACAAGAACGGGTATTCCACTACTTTGAACCATTTTTACCAATGCTTTCCTGGCTGGAGTTCTGCTTAGTTAGGACTCCAGTTTCTTCTTTGAGAACTTCTTTCTTGTACCTGTCCTCTTAGATGATATCCTCTTCTATCTCAGTATGGTGACTTGCCAGCTAATGTGTTCATTATCTATATGTCTTAATAATTGCTGATTGTTCTGCATCTTTCAATAGCAGTTGGCCTAACAGCTCATAATTGCTTTCACGGGCTGGCCATATTATGAAATGCAATTAGTATTATAGTAAGCTTACGTAGGAATGGGATTCATAAAGTTCCACCAATAGAGGATGTATAGCGACCGAAGATAAAACATAGCGACAGACAAAGAGATCAAAAGCTGACAGTTCTGTCATCTGCTATGTTTCCTGCGGGGTTGTTGGCTTTGATATTCTAAATGCTGACACGTCCACCCACCCTGCTAATGGCCAGTGATAGTATTCTAGTCTTAATCGTGTAGTATTATAGCCATTTAAGGGTGAATTAAACTCCTACTTAGGCCTGGTAAGCTCTACTAAGTGGGAGATGATGCGATCTGACTCAGACCAGTCGTGGTGAGATATGGACAGCGCTGGCTGAGCTGAGAACGCCTCTATTGTAAGAGCGCTTACTGAGAATGAGGGCTACCTGGTGTGCTTACTTCTTGTTAACCTGTCGACCTATTAATCTGGTCCACGTGTATGCTGATAATATTGGATTTGCTATATAGCTGAATGTAGTTATTCAGAGAGTGGTGATATTTGAGAAATGTGTATTATGACTCACAAGGCTTATCTAGTACCAGGCTGTACATTCTTTGATTCTGCTCTTAACAGCAGACAAGATAACGCAGATATCGACAAAGAAGATGCGCTTCCAGTTGTCTGAAGTCCACCATGAGGCGGACGAATTCGAGGAATTAATTGCCTGCGAGGTAGCGAGCTTCGAGCATCCCCAACAATCAATCTTCAGATTTTTCTATCCTATTTTTGGCCATGAATCTGCGGCAGAAAAGCAAACAGCCTTTCGAAGTCTGGTCGAGCTGCAACGCCAGTGGTCTCGCGATGATCCAGACATAGTGTGGACCAAGGCCATTGACACACAGAATAACAACAAAATAGTCGGCGGCTTGTTGATGAAGGTCCATAAGAAGAACCCTAATCCTCAAAAGGATGACGATGGGCATCAGTCTGCGTTTTGGTATCCTGCCGGTAGCCAGCGGAGGTATATCGATGAGTGCCTGCGCATATTTACAGCCCCGCATGAGAAATTCATGCAGAGACCGCATGTTTGTAAGTTGTGCGCCGAGAGAAAATCTGGAAAGTTTGCGAATTAACAAGTCGATAGACCTATTTATTGGCTTCGTCCTTCCAGAATACCGACAACAAGGAGTTGCCGACATGTTTCTCGCTGATGCATGCCGGCGGGCAGATGAACTCGGAATAGAAGCGTGGCTTGAATCTGTGGTGGCTATGGGGGTGCCGATTTACATGCGACACGGCTTTATTCCCTTCCGTAAGCACGCGGTAGAGCCTCACGCTGAAAGACCCGATGATGAATGGAAGGATATGGAGGGGAAAATGCAACCTCTGCGGTTCTGGCCGATGTGGCGACCTCCCCATGGCAAGTTTGTCCCTGGGGAGACGAAACCACCTTGGAATGAATTTATGAGTGGCATGTTGAGCAGGTTGTAGCTCGTATCAGTATTTCCTTTCAGTGATTTAAGTGGGCCTAGTTAATATAGTTGAATGAGCGTGGTATCGGGTGGGAGTAATGATTGTCAGAGCTGAGAGTAACAGTTGAACCTCTGGAATATTACATTGTCGCCTTTGAAGAACACACTCCCAAGATGGCCGTATGCAGCTAACTAGACAGGAACAGTCTAGCTCTTCTTGAACCAGTCATATGTACATTAATACTGGACCGCAGCGCTCGGAATGACCGTAGCTTAAAAGTCATCATAAGGTAAGATTCAGTCAGCCATCGACTACACTCACGCCGAGTCGCATCTAGCTCACAATAACATATGAGAATATATAATAGTGTAAATTACCCACAAGTAGCGATCTAGGCACCCGATTGAAACTACCACTTCGAAGAATCATGTTCACTAAGCTATTGACAAAAGTTACATCCTCCTTTCTAGGCCCAGGACCAGACTCCTACACCGAGGATGATTATTCACACCTTGTTAGGGATCTGGCAGAATGGATTATGTCAGATTCGAAATGGAGAGCCGATTTTGAAGAGGCAATCACCACAGCCCGTTCACACAATACAACTGAGATGCAGGACATTCAATGTCTAGAAGAGTACTTTCGATTCATCAACGACCAGCTTTACTGGATACCAAGTGAAGCTGCACAGCCCAAGGACTTTCTCTCCCGGATATGTAAAGTGTGGTTTGTTCTCGACCAGCCCTCTGTCGCCGCTTATCAGGGCCCAACTCGACCATTGTCTGAGCCGGGAAAAGACCAGCATGGCAAACTAACCTGGCTCTCAGACTGGATTGTGAGATACAGCAAGGAGATCGGAGTTTTTATGGATTCACCTGCTTCCGCAACATCACTGGATACATTCAGGACAAGCCCTGCGTACAATATACAAGACTACATCGAACCTCGAGGAGGATGGAGGACATTTAACGAATTCTTTCGCCGCAACGTCAAGCCCGGCCGACGCCCCATTGCTGCCGTTGGAGACAACTCAGTTGTAACATGTCCCGCCGACTTCGTGTTTGAAGAACTTTATCCAGTCTCGGCGGATTCTACCGTGACCACGAAAGGACTCAAGTGGCGGATCGCTCAACTGCTCGATGATTCATTGTACACGGAGCGATTCGCCAATGGAACGTGGCTGCATGGGTTCCTAGACGTGAATGATTATCACCGAGTACATGCACCCGTCAGCGGAACGGTCTTGGAGGCCCGAACGATTGTCGGGCGAAACTATATGCAGGTTTATGCTACCAGCCTTCCAGGAAGGGATGCTATACCAAATAGAGCCGCACAAACGAACGTAGTCGGCCACACAGCAGGCGCAGTGCTCAGTGTCCGCAACGAGACAGGCTACCAGTTCTGCCAAGCTAGAGGCCTGATCGTGCTGGATACAGGCGCTGGTCTGGTTGCCGTGTTACCTGTCGGTATGGCCATGGTATCATCAGTCATTCTCACTGCCGAAGTTGGCGCAAAATTACATAAAGGTGAAGAGCTGGGTTATTTTCAATTCGGGGGGTCGGATGTTGTTTTGATCTTTGAGGACGGGCTGAAGGTTGACATCACTATGGAACGGGGCCAGCATTATAGGATGGGCGTGGACATCGGTCATTGCAAGTGTTCTTAATTTTGAGTCTGACCTTTAGGACGTTCACATCTACCTACCTTTTAGAAAAGAGCTCTAATCAACCCTGCGCTATCGGTCCAATACACTACATTGTCGGGCTTACCGACTCATGTATAGATGCAACACCGCCAACAGTTGGGAGAATCTGCATAGGTAAGTTTTTCAGTAGCAACATCATCCCATGTACGACATAGTTAAGTACGGAGTTCCCGTGATTGCAATCGCTGAATCATTACGCTAAATAAGAAGTATCTGCTCATATACAATGAGATGCCTTTAGGATATTAATATGGGGTTTGGGTAATAAGCCTAAGACTCAGTCGACCATCATAGATTTCCGACAGTTCACATAAGTATCCTCCCAGTTGAGTGTACTACACACCCCTAACCTCACCCAGGGAGTGCTGAAGATGTATCCACAACTGAGGAATTTGCCATACTCGACCCATTGGCTGCAATGGCCTCCGCAAAAGCCCGAGGGTGGTAGCTTGAACTGGTATATGTAGTCTGAAAGCCTTGGCTATGTACCGCGTCCATAGGCATGAACTGGTCCGACGCAGGGGATGTGGCGTGAATTCTCCAGTGGTCAAAATCTGTTGCTCCATTCCAGCTTACCCAGAAGGTGGTTGCTGAGTTTGTAGATGCACTGTATGTTCGAAGCGCAGGAGGGTCACTTGGCTTTGCAGTCCAATTGGCCTTGAATGCACGGTAATTCTGTGAATCTGGGGATTCCAATGTAGCAAAGAATATTGTAGTGCCGTCCTCGGTATGTTCCGAAATCGAAGGATGGATGCCCCAACCGATCAGAACGTTCTTGTTTGGCAATATTTGGGTGTTTCCCTGGAAAATAGAAAGCAGGCCGCTGCCAGGGGCATGGTATTGTCTGGTCAATGTTGAGGTGTTCGTATTGTGGTCGATGGAGATAATCTTCCCGGACGAAGTGGATGATGTGTTTTTATGCTTGTTGCTTGCATTATCGAAGAAAGAGAGAATTGTCGTGGTCTCATTCTCCTCTTGAAACCGGGCGTCATGTTGATAGGAGAAATTGTAACCTCTCAGCTGGAGAGAAGATTGAGTGCCGCCCAGTTGCCAGATAATGGACCCATTCTTGCCGGAAATCTTGTATATGCAGCTGGTATGTCTTGCAGATACGAGGTAATCGCCTTCGTGATTCTTATCAACCGAATTAATGTGAAAATAGTCCCAAGCGCTACCGTTAGTCCGGCCATCACCAACCACTCCATCTAACCGTAGAGGGGTTAGGGAAGCCGAAAGAGGAACGTGATCAAGCGACTTCCACTCAAATAAGACCTTTCCTGTCTCTATATCAACCTCTTGGAACACGCCGTCTATAACCCAACCCTTTTCAGGACCTATGCCATATGCTGAGAGATTGTAAGGTCCTGTTTGGTATATTGTTATGAGTGCTGTCTTTCCATCAATGACTCTCATTTCATGCAAATCGCTGGGAAGCGTCCCATTCCCGCTTTGCACAGTGGTTGTTTCTTTGTAAGCGTCGTCCAAAATTGTATGGTAACCCCTTGCATATCCCTCGGTTTGAACTCCTTGATAATAGCAGAGGTGGTCTGATCGATTATAAGGGCAGACATGGAGGTCATGGAAAATATCAGTGGCAGAGCTATTAGCCCCGCTCCATACAAGGTTCTAGCCACGTCAGAGCCGTCACGAAATCAGAGCAGGGTAATGCACAAACACCAGAAGTGTCAAAAATATAGGGCCCCGGCAGATCTACGCCATAGGGAGTGAGAAATAGATAACCCGGGGTAAGAAGACTATCGTTTTTTATGCTGATATTGAGAACTGGGGCGCGGATATCCGGTCGCTTGTCAAGTCGAATCATAGTTAGTATACTCCCGGGCAATATAATGGGAGCTTTCACTGACAGACTGGAAGGACATCGAATTTGCGCAATTTATGACACGAACAAATGTCAAGATCCAACTAATCATCACCAGGCCTTTCCTAAAAGATACTAGGTTGCTGTTCTGGTTCGAAGCCATGGTGACTTGGTTACAGGAAATCACTGCCCTCAGCCATAAGTATCCCGGGAGTGCCTGAAAGGATTTGATAGTCCTATAACTGATTTGGAAAGACAGTCCAGAGCATTAATAGGACGATCTATATGTTGAGAGACAATAAACTTACAATTCTGCATTACATCATGACTTAGCTTCCTGAACTTGAATCTATAGTAGCTGACTACATAGCGTGGAATAGATATATGGTTCAGAATGATATAAGAATGTCTTTGCATTTTCTGAACTTTATTTTCACACTAGTCCTAGGTTGTAAGGACACATGGGCAGTCGTTTCCAAATTGATGGCCATTACTTCTACATCACAAGTCTGGTGAAAAGTTGTGTAAGCTACATATCATGACCACTTACTCCGGCCCTCAAAATGGGCGGCTTTGTCGGAGATAAGTGCCTAAACTCTGGTTGTGTTCACTGGACAGCCGGTTGAAGATAAGCCTAAAGTAGCTGAACTTAGGGTTTAAGGGAATCGGCGGGCCATCGTACTACTGGCAGGAAGTTCCCGCTTTGTTCGGTTCGGGGCCTCATTGACTTCCCCAGATTCCGTACGTACTCCGTACACTTCCCTGTAATGGGACACCATGCGGATGCGCTAGACGCAATACTTAGTCTAGAGACCAAAGTTGAGTTTGTGGCTGTCAGCGACACCTTGGAATATATGTTGGTGCGGTGAAACCAGATCTCAATTACATTTAGACGCATGCGGCTTACATGACCTCATCGCTATAAATCAATGATTTCTCTTCAGCTTCTTTTCCATCAGGCATTACACCTCTATATACTGTAGTCTTTCGCCATCAATGCATTCCATGAATGCACGATGGAAGCAAGAGTATGTATTACATAGTAGTATGCAACTTCCTTATCCTATTTAACCAAGCTTTGGTGTACCGCGTACGTCACAGTATGTATACTCTTCTGGCGCTCGTCAGTCTACATCCAAATTAGCTAAAAGACACGCTGCCTCGATTTAAGAGTACCTACCAATGCAGTAATATCTCTGTAATATTCCACTGATTTATGCTGGCCTCTCGCTTATGCCAGAACTGATTTAGTGACACATTCGTCTTTCCTCATTCTCGGAGCATAAGAGCTGTAAGGAGACGGGCAATCTCGGTAGCCTTGGAAGAGGGCCTGAATGGTCAGACCTTAAGGACATGTCCCCAATCAACGGAATCTAGAGAAAATATTTTTAACCGACTTCGACACTTATTCTATGTTACTTTCATAAAATATGTTTAGAGCCATGGAACACATATTAAAGTAGTTAAGTATCACTAAAAAATGCATTCAAAGGCAACATAAATTAGTAAATAAGCGCCAGAATCCTAAGTTTGTCTAGCATTAAGCCCCATGTAGCCTCCCATCAATCCCATCCAAGAAATTACCAGATAACTTTTGAGAACCTTTTGCAGATCTCAGGGAAATTAGACAGGGATCAGCTCCGCAATAGGGGAGTGCTCATTTCAGCCTTGCACCCTACAGATAGTCTCCCACCTCAGAAACAATTCCGATTGCCTTGGTCTATTGCATTGTCAATGTCGCAACCAGAGATCCTTTCGGTAGATATACATACCGCAATCCCTGGGCTTTTCGCCTCCCTTCACCCACCAATTGTTTCCAGTCCTATACCAGCCCCTGCGATTGTTTAGTAAAGATACCCACTGAGAATACAAATCTCTCACTTGTATTTGCAAATGTATTCAACATGCTCATTATTCCTATAGCTTCCCATCCTATCGCTTCCGTCGCAAGGATACCTGTAGTAAGGGATCTGTGAGTTCTTGCTGCATCGATTCCGGTTGTTGTCGTTGCCGTTCTTTCTCTCCTCGATGGATTCAGCGCCAACGTCAGGTTCTGGAGCTGGTATGGCAAGGGCAAGGGGAAGTAGAACAGTGAGAATGTAGAGTGGTGACTTCATGTTTGAATTGATTACAACCGTATTATTATAGACTCTTTGCTTTGATACTGATGGTCTTGATGGTCCAAGGTTAGGTTGCTGCTTGGGTGAACTTGGGTCCTTTAAGTATTCAATGCATATTGTCTGAGATGATAGTAAAGCTCTATGACGATGAACTTCATCACACGACTGTGGCCACCAAGCATGTCTAGAACGTGGAGTCTGGGCATAACATGACTCCTGAAGACCATTCTAGGCTTCTGATCATGCTCGTCCATGGCTGTTGGGGCCTTTGGACGAATCAAGGCGGAGAGAGGGCAACCGGAAATTTCGCCAAGCAAAGCAATAGGCATGGCAAAAAGTAGAAACTTGGTGCTGAAAAGTAAGTAGACGGACTGGCCTGCGTTGTCCTTTGATGCGAGTCAAAACGGATGGTCTACAGACCCAAAAATAGAAAGAGTTGTTGGTTCAAATAAGCTCAAGCTTAGTTATACGCCTGTAGCCAAGCCTCTAGTGTCGGCCGATCGGCAGTGGCGCTTTGTGGGCCAGGATGGCATGAACTCATGGCCATGACTGCATTGTATTCAATATAAATTAGCATTCTGGGTCGTGGTACACTATGAATACCTTTTGCAATTGTAGATTGAGTTATAGAACATGAAGTCTTCTCTGAAATGATTTCCACCATACTCATGAGACCTCAATGAAGTAATCAACAACTACCCCATAAACCAAAAATGTTCCTTCTCCCATGGAGTCAGCTACGTCTTCATTGCGTATCGAGCGAATCGATTGTCTATGATCCTATTACCATATTGGAGTCAACCAAGCAATTACTGTCATACGTGGTGTCAAGTGGTACATCAAAATCGCCTGCTCCTGTTGCGGCCGCGTCGCCACGCCGGAATCATACGACACCGAACCTAAAATCAATGCATTGTTTTATGGGTATCTCCCAGGATCCAGAATTACAACACAATAGAACTGGTGACTAATTAATTCTATTGTGGTTGGCAGACAGTCCCATCATATTATCTCAACCGTTCTGTGCATCTGACAGAGTACATTCAGACGCATCACAACCACTGTAGGACACAGTATTCCCCCACCAATCCAGTCATCTGCAAGGCGAAGAAGATAAAAATACCTGCCACTGCTATTCCAAAACTGAAGGAGGAGATCATCACCTAGGCATATGTTTTCCACCACGCCGAGTATCTCCGCTTGATGTAGTAGTTGACGATGAACCCAACCACAACTGTAGGCCAGACATAGCTGAAATTGTAAGGAGCCCACATTACTCCTCTTAAAATCACGTGAATGTTAATGTAGCGTAGCCAGGACTTGGAGTAGCGCTTTGCGAGGAAATAGAAGGGGATGGGGAGCAGAGCGCCGATGAGGAATCCGTATTCGAGGGGCTTGGTACATGCTCCCATTGTTGAACATCCGTTTGGGTCCGATCAGTCCTTATATTATTGATACGCTGAAGAAAGAGTGTGTGCCTGTATAATTACTCTTAGATATACGAGGGTGAACGATTTTGACAGGCATGACCAAAGACGTACCTGGACATGTAAACCTCGACGGCTGATCTTTCGTACAAACGTCGGGGATATTTGCCATTTGCCATGCATTGACGCCAATAGTTACAAACGAGGCGATTATCGTCGCCACGATCTGGGCTGTGAACATGGTGCGCGGAGGGATCTTCATGTAATGTCCAGCTTAAATCTGCTGCGAACTGTACCGACTGCAAGCAAGTCACCGAGCTATATGCCTTGAAGATCATATTCGCGATCGGTCGGTTAGAAATCACATAGCCGGCAATGAACTCCGCGATCACGTTGTCGCTGAGCTCGGTGTTTGTGACGGCCTTGAGGATACTAAGGCAGAGCTGCAGGACCAGAGAGATGCCTAGTGCTATGATGAGGCCCCAGATTGGTAGCCCTGTGTTATATACCTGACAGGCTATGCAGCCCATTGCGAATGAGAGAGCCAGGATTGCTAAATACCACTACTCTAGGACTTCCCCGTAGGCTCTCATCAAGCAGCTGGGGATATCATCCTATAAAGCACTTGGTCGCTTCTGCTCGAATGCCGTGCTTATTTTGTTATGATGCCAAAGCAGTGATGCAGTGCCATATAGATGAGAACTACAGGGCAGATGGTGCATTCATGTATGGTGGTCTATAGGCCATATATTCCCTGGTGTTGAGGGGAGTCTGAGTTAAGTACGCGGCTGATGTTGTAGATGTTGCTGGTGCCATTAAATACTCTGTTGAAATTAATGGGCTGATGTGCACTGCCCTAGATATTCATGAAATAAATTAGAATAATAATCAAGAATCCAGCAGCGAAGGTACTAAATGCCCTATTTACTAGTGAGAATCATGGAGTCACTATAGGATCCCTTAAGACAGAATATTCTAGTTAAATGTTGGCTAGGGATTTAGCCCCATCCCACTAATACTCTTAGTTAAGTCACTGTTGCGGCTTTTAGTGTGATTTAAGCTAAATTAACTGGCCATAGCATGGCAGGTGATAAACCAGAAACTATCTCAGGATCCCAGCACATCCAAACCAGTTAGATAAATTAACAAGGCTAGGAGGATCTGGAATCCTGTGCTATTAGCCAATACTTTTATGCTATAGAATATATCTAGTTTCAGTGCCTGGAAGATGAGCGCCATAGCTCTAGCATTGCCTATATCTCTATAAGCTACATTAGCTATGACTGTTATGAGCATATGTTCCTTCTGGTTGAAGGGTCTAGGATTTAGACTGATGTGCTGTCTAAAGATATTGATATGCTTTGCCACCAAAGTCTTAGCCATAAACACCCTAATTAGGTATGATAGCACCTGGGTGAGGTAAGCGCTTATGCTGATTCCTGGCTGATAGTGAGAGAAAAATTGGTTAATACCTGTGCTGAGAACAGTGAATGTAACTCCCATTATCCAGGCTTGGATGGCGTTCACAGGTAATTCAGGGTTATTAGTATTATCTATAACAGCCTGGACTTCCTGGTACAGAGAGTTGCTAAAAAGCTGATTATGAGTGTTTTGAAGGGCAGACACGTCCGTAATTGCGGTCTCCTTATCTGATGCAGGAGCGACTTGGTTGAAAAAATCAACAGGAAAGTTTGGATCTAACTCATGATGTGTGGTTGTTTCCCTGAGCTGCTGCAGAAGCTTTTCCTTTTCGTGGTTAGGGGAAGGGATTCCTCATTCTCGGAGAGAGGCTGTGAATTGAGGTCAGATGTAGGGGTGTCGGATATGTCAAGTGTCTCCTTTGATGGAGCTATTTCGGTATCAATTTTATCCATCATCGCAGATTTGCTTTATCTGCAACAACTGGGAGAAGAGACAAGGGTCAGGTTACAGACAGTCGCTCATCGGAGCACCAACATATACAATATCTGCATATATATTTTACAACTACAACATTTGTCATAATTTATGTGGACAGCCCTATGAACTCGCTTGCCAGATGAGATTCATGCAACCTTCTTCCTTGTCATTTATCTACTTAATGGTACTTGTTATACTACCCATGGTTCTGCAGGTGAAGAGGATTGCTTGCGGAAGGCGGCCAACAGTAATCAAAAGAACCACAGAAGACTCACCATGGGCCTCATAACAACAGGATAGACAGGTATAGTTCTGACCGTATCATTTAAGGCCTACGCGGCTGGCTGATAGTGACTGGCGCGGAACATGGTGTTTAGGGCTACTGGAATATTCCTCTGTTCAGGTCCAAGTCACACTGCATTTAGACCATGACATACAAGATTCTAGTTTCTACCGATAACTCTAGAGCTTATGTTATCTGCTAAAACCTCTATGCAATTTTGTGGCTGATTATATAAGACAATATGTAACATTAGTAGCAATACTCATGAATAGCTGAGAGTTCCATTCCGGATTCGTCCCAACCACTATCCCGCCGCCCTCCCCTACCCAAAAGCGAAACACAAAAACGAGAGAGGTAGGTAGATCAAAAAAGAGAACCCGTAATCCAGCATATCCAGAGCTAATAATGACTAACACTACAGCAACCCTACAACCTATGGCAAAGAACCTTTCTCATAACTGAAGGAGCTGGACCATCCATGAGTAAAGGGCCTTTTTCCCTCCAACCAGAAGGAATGTGTCCAAGGTGATCACACGTAAACTCTAGGCCCTGGATTCCAGTAGTGGTTGCATTAAAAAGTCATCATATGCAAGCTCTTCTGCTGTTGGCCGTTGATCCGGCAACCAGCGGAATATCCTTTGCAAGAAATTCAAAAAGAGGATGTTATCTTCTCCAGGAAATTGCCGCTCTCTCGTCGCTAGCGTTTGCTCTGGTATAGGCACAGAGCCTTTCCATTTACCTGCAACAAGATGTCAGAACAGTGAATGGTCAGGAGGGAAAAATAGGTACCTTGCATGTCCCAAAACTGCTGACATTTCCCACTTCTCTTCAGGAAGTCCTGAGGGGGAGGTCCCATGAGTGACACCATTTCTGCTAGGTGCTGTTCATCATTCAGGACATGATCTTTCTTTGCGAAGAAAAGATGACTGCTTTCGACTAAATCCCAAACCTAGGACATTCTGTCAGCGGGCAAATTAAGCATAGGGAGGAAACTCACCATGGCACCGATTGACCATATGTCAACCTTGGAGTCCCAATCCATATCTAAGATCACTTCCGGTGCCCGGTATATTCCGGGCATAATATCTCCCCTGTGTTTTCCGCTGCCAACTCGAGCCTCACCAAGGTCGGAAATTACAGGCAAGCCTGTACTAACCGGCAGTGGCCGTGAGAGGTAAATATGACGATCATCCAGGACTTTTCTAGCAATTGGTCTCGTCATCTCATCTTCTTCAATCTGCGAGAAAATTAGAAGGATCATCGATTCCAAAGAGTATATTATTTGACGAGATGTCTAAGAATACTGAGCATTGCCTCTTTAATGGTTTGATTATGTACTTACCTGTGTGAATAACATTGTTTTCATGCATAAAAGCCAGGGCAATTAAGGTGAGTTGAATGCTCCTCTGAACAAGGTCCTTTGGGAACTTCTTCTCGGGGAGCAAGTCACGGAATTCAGTGAAACTCATCCCAAGGGGATGATAAATCAAACAAGTGTGCTTCCCATGGGGACCGACGACCTCGAATGAATCAAGGACTAGACGAACTAGTTTTTTCCCAACATGTTCACTGCATTTCATTAAATGCTTGGAAACACTGATCTCATTACTAGGCTGTTGGCCCTGAACACATATCTTTAATGTGTAGAAACTATGGTCTCTGCAAATAATCAGATATATGCGACGCTCTCATGACCTCAGTGGGTACTCACTGAAGATCTCGGCACAGCCAGGCTGTGGAAGACGTGCCATACCCGAGCTTGGAGACGACTTGATACCTTCCCGCAAAAACTTCACCAATATAGACAGGGTAGTATCGTTCTGCAACATAAAAGGGAAGTTCTTCCTTCTCTATTTTCTCTGAGGGGTCCAGTTTGACGAATCCGGATGCAGGAAATTGACGCGGCCGAAGTGGTGGGGCTGAAGTCATAGTTCTTCTAATGATACCAGGTGAAGGAGAAATAAAATTGCCAACTGAACATTTCAAAGACACCAGAAATGCATTAGGACGCCGAAGGATTGCTGACATGGTAAATCGTTATAGAACCGGTTCCTCCTGGTCCTGCCGCCCTGCGGAGAGAAGGAGGGGAGGTCGATTAATAACAATTGGCTCGCGGCCACTAAATTCCAAAGGCGCCTAGTCTACGCGCCGAACTATGTTTATTGATTGTAGATGGCGGCAATTGTTTCAGACCATTCGCCAACAGGATAGGTAATTTGCTCAATGGATAGATTGTACTGGCTTGTTGTCATTGATATCAGCCCTTTTCAATATCATTAGAGCACATCATGATCGGTTTTGCGGCATTGTATGTTCTTCTGCATTGCACTTGGTTTTCTAACAGACCTCTCGTTTCTAAGTTTTCCCGGGATATCTGTAAGATTATATTTAGTATAAGTCAATCGTACCACAGTTAAATATTCCTAATCTGTACTTGGACATAACACATTACTTGGCTATATTATACTGAGCCTGTTCATGGAAGACCCGTGATTATTACCCCAATGGTGGGCTTGGGACTTCCTGGCAAATTCCTGCGATAAAGTTAGTGTGAATGGCATATTTTGTGAGAGACTCATACTTTTGGCTCCATTGGAACTATGGGGTTAGTAATGGCAGTTGGTTCAATGCAAAGAAGCAGGTTGAGATCGGTGGATGATAATGGAATTTTGTAGCTGGTTGAAAGTATAAATGACTCCTGACTATGAAATGCCTTACTTAGAGGATACAGGATGCATATCTGTAGCAATGTTACATAATATTTATCCCTTTATCATATTCCTCATCGGAGTACTTAGCTCCTTTGCAAAGTTGCGTCAACCTCCTGCTTGATATTAACTTCATGACTACCATCCGGACGTCTCCGCTGCGTTACTATCCCAGGCTCGAACATAGTCATCTTTGGAAATGCTGGGTAGGACCCAGGGAAGTTGTGAACCTGCTTTCTGTCATACTATAGAATTGAGCACTAATCTGGTAAGACGCACTGAATTAAATGGAGGATAAAACAACACGAAGGCATCCGACGTCTTCCTGATGGTCAGCAGTCCAGCATTAAGCGATCATGACCAACTCTCAACATTGCTCAATATATGCACGTTATATCTTCTCCTAGGAACCACACTAGGAGAATGCGTTGTTAACATATCATATCCTTCTGAGTATTGCTCACCATGAAGCACCTTCCCTTGCTTTGGTTGATCCTCGCGGTCAGAACACTTTCTGAGCTCTTTCAAATCCCTTTCCAAGTTGCTCCAAGCAGCAGGATTGCGCCAGAGGCCATAGGTGTAATATGGATACATGAAAGCCTAGTTTGTTCTTGGTATAACACTTACTAGCCATACAAGCTTATTATAACTTCTACATTCCTACAGGCTTAGGATGCTATGCTACTTTAAAATTTTATGACTAGAGTGGTAGCATACTTCAATCTCATTAACACCTCTTCATAGTTGTTCATAACTCACAAGTCTAAACTGGAGTGACATTGTTACTACTCATAGCATTACTAAATTAAGCAGAGTATGATCCTGTTCTAATCAGATGAATGAAGAGCAAATGAAGGAAAGCAATAGCTTGCAGATGATTGAACCCATCCAAGCTCCAACAAAGCCGACTGGGACTGCCTTGATTTCTAGGGTTAGAGAATAGACACCTCAGATCTCAGGCATCAAATTATCAAACCCTAACAATCAGGCAGCCGTCTATCAGTGTCAGCACACCTAAGCTTATGAACAAATATTTATGATCATATCTAAATCATCATCGAAAATTCAACATGTCCATCCCTGACACTGTGTACAAACGTCTGTAATCATACCAAAGTCATCATGTCTGATCCTCTTAGCCTCATCTCCAGCAAGTGCTTCCATCGCCGCGTCATTCTCGACACAGCTTATGGCCCCCTCACCATCACATTCGCCGACATAGGCTGCACCACAGGCCCCGTACTGCTCTTCCTACCGGGTATGTTTGCCTCGCGCTATCTCAGTATCCCTATGCACGTAATCGCGGAGCGCGCCGGAGTGCGCCTGCTCGTGGTCGACCGGCCTGGAATGGGCGCGTCGACCGATGTACCACTCACCCAGCGCATCGCCGTCTGGGTCGATATGCTGCCACGCCTGCTGGCGCATCTGGGTATTCCGCGCGTCAGTCTTGTGGCGCACAGTGCTGGAACCATTTATCTGCTCAATACGTGGGCGCAGTGCCGTGAGATTGTGAGCCCTGTCATTGCTTTCTTAGGTATTTCAACCCTACCTCTCTCTCTTTTCTTTGAAGACGAGGGAAAGAAACAAGACACAGAAAAGAGGACGTATAACTCAGTACTCTGTTATAGCTCCGTGGGTTGATCTCGCACATTCCCGCGTTACAGTAATGCAAATGGCCCAGTACGTGCCTACCAAGGCATTCGCAATGTGGCACCTCATCCCGCGCTTCTTCGTAACGCAGGCTAGCCCCGTGCTGGCGTCGAGCGGGGCTGTGGTCCGCCGGATGTCATCACAGAGCAGTGAAGCGGCGGATCGCTCGTTCTTCGATGCTAATTGGCGGCGCGTCGAGCGTGATTATGGCGTGCCGCACGCTGAACAGGCGGAGCTCGCTCGTCTCGCCCTCCGGTTTATGTATAAAGAGGACACTGTTGGGGCGAATAGCGAGGCCTTGCAGTGTCTTCGGAAGGGCGATGGTAGCAGCTGGGGGGCCTGCTCGGACTATGCTCACTGCATGCAGACGCTGGCGGGCCGCGAACGGTCCACAGGTGGCCGGGTGAGTGTCCGGACGTACTTTGCCGCCAAGGATGTCTTGGTGGGCAGTCGGGGCCAAAAGTACTTTGAGGGGTGCTGGCGAGCACCGGGGTTGGAGGCCATTGACTACGTCTCGACGATCGTCGATGCAACAGATCACGATACTCTGGCGCAGTCGGTGGAGGTGTGGGAGGAGATATTTTCTTCAGTACAGTAAATGATTTCTATGACTCGTAATATCTTGGCCAGATTTGGGTGGGCTACATACCTCGTGGCTGCCTCGATGTTCTGTATGACCTGTTCGAATGTTAGTAGTGGGTATTATTGCTTTGCTACACAGTTCAGCTAATGTATTTTCCACCTAGCTGCATGCCTCTATGCGGAGGGTAGTATACTCTAGACCTGTGTGACCAGGTGACTAGATTAAGTCAGGTTATACTAAAACTGTTATCGCCCCCACACATACTAGTTGCGAGATCCACAGCCTTCAAGCCATATATCCCTTGACGATTTGATTTTCTTCCACCGTGACCGGTATGGCCTGAGCTTCGATGATTATGGAACGGTTCCCCAACGACTGATTCCCGATAAATGAGGGCAAAAGAACCATTCCTAGGAGGTACACCGGGACCAGTCTTCCAATTAAGGTGCAGCGTGTCCTAGATCGCTCACGTGATGACGTGCGTTCAGTAGCTCGTCGGAAATATCTGAGGAATTATGACAAATGTCCAGAACTGAGGTCTCGAATGGTCTTGACTATAATTTGAAGTAATCACAATAGATACAAGCCCATAGGGCATGCTATACCCAGAACGCCTCATGCCATGCAATATCGAAACGCCATGCTGAATCCAATAACCAGTAAGCCACCGGACAGATATAGCAAGCAAGACAATTCAATCCAGAAACATGCAGCGTAACTGCAGCAAAGGACCAGCTTCGGACTATGCACGAAGCTGGTTGCCGGTATATACGCCCTCAAAGTCAAGAGCAGCCAGCATGCCATTGATGCGGTCGATCTCCCGACTCAGATCCTCGACATTCATGGCGAGGCTGCTGACCTCATCAAATTTGCGACGTCTATTTGCGTCTGCAATCATTTCCGAGACAAAGAATTTCTGTTCTTCTAGGACGATAAGGCGTTCACGCAGCGCCTTCTCCTCCGCTTCCAGAGCAGAGACGGCGCTACTTGTGTCGCTTGCTAGGCTGGTATTACTCCCGCTAGCAGCTATACCATTATACTTGATGGACGCGAGTGCCGACTCCCTTGGTCGGTGACCACCCACGGCATGATTAGTCGGAGTCCCAATTGAGTTGGCGGGGCTTGCAGGTCGCCCGTTTGGAGTTGCGTGCTTGAGAATCTTGGGCAACGCTTTCAGCGGAAGCATGTGAAGGTGCAAGAAGTTAGTGGCTTGTTGGTAGATGGCCTTTTGAAGTCGCTGTTGTGTTGGTGAGTCGGTTGGCATATCACGAATACGCCTGGCTGCGACATCATACTGGGCGAAGGAATCAGTAAGTCGTTTGCGGACTTTCGAGGCTTCAACAATCTGGGCCGCAGAAGGGGGTCGCCTTGGATCTCTGGTAAGAGAGTATGATGTTAGATATAGCAGTAAATGATTGAGATTTGTAACATACTGCAAAGTTGTGAGCAGCTTCTGAAATTTAGGCAAGAGCAGCCGAATGCCCCTCTCAAACTGCGCCAGATTCTCATACGCTCTGACGTCCGGAGGTCTGCGCATGATATCTGCTTGGAAATCCCGTCGGTCGAACAAGGTCGATTTACATTCCTTGCAAAGCCTTATGTCGACATTGATAGCACCCGCATTCGGTGACTTCTCTCCAGTCGCCTTGGCCACTTCATCTGATTAGCGTAAGATAACAACGCAAAGAGCCAAAGGGGATAACATACAAGGCGTTATACTAAGAGGAACTTCACTGGAACATCCCGTCGCAGGGTCACCGCACACGACCCGCCCGCAGGTTCGGCAATGGTGTCTGCGAAAGGTATAACTGGTGAACTCCTGCTGGCAGAACGGACACCGAAGTACGCCAGAGTCGTCCTGCCAGCTAACAATAGTCTGCTCGAGCGCTTTCCGTTGGTCGTTTTGCCATGAAATTGGCCAGCGCTTTCCCCCTTGTATCTGATCCGGAGGTAGACTCGCTAATAGCTGGGTGAGTCGTGTCAATCGCTTTTCCAGCCGAGAAATCTCCAGTGTGGCTTTGTCAACGGTCTGCTTCCTCACAGCCTTGAATTCGTCCATTCGATCGCGAACGAGGCCTGACTCGAGTCAGTACTGCTCTGTCACAACCACCCACACTATAGACACCTACCATTATGGTCGTTGTACCCTTCCCGTGATTTATAACAGGTCTCACAAACTCTATACCACAAACCCCTCACAGGCTCATGCTGCGCCGATCTAGACAATTTCATCTGGTACATGGTATGCTCCTCGCAGAAGAGCTTCCCGCACTTGCGACAGTTGACGCAGCCATTCGTGGCATTCAGGCGTTTTCCGCACGACGGCTCCAGACAGGTATCATACAATCCCCGAACTTGCCAGTGGTCCTTCGTAATGATGTCTTCGGGGTCCAGTACTCTCGGCGGCTCGTTGTAGCCCGGCTGGGGCCCGGCGGGCCGACTTGCACCAACGGACGGGTGATTGTTCTCGTTCGATTCGAAGACGTCCAGACCTTTCAATTTCTGATTCAATACAGCTAGAGGCTGGAAGCGCTTCGCCTTTTCCATCTGCACCTTAAACCAATCCTTGACTTCATCTTGCCGATCGTCTTCGAGGTTTTGATGTACGTCATCGAGGTGTCTGAAGTTATTGTTAGGCAGGCGTCGCGAATACAGCGCATCGGAACAAATACCTATTCAATTGTAAGAGGGTTACCTGTAGCTTGTTAGCTTACCACACAGTGACTCGTTTCCCAAATAGGAAGCCGGGACAGGGTTGAGGTGAGGGGTGTAGGCTATACCATCTCCTCATTGCAGATCGGACAAGCAAGCTGAGCTCCGGCAGCCGCCGGGGCCGCAGATATAGACGTCGCGCCATTTTCTAAGGAAATCCGGGAAGTGAGATCTTGCGTTTCGGATGAGAACTGGGAGGCGGAGGCCTGGGAACTGAGGGAGAGGCTGCTGGCGGACGGCGATAAGATGCTTGGCTTCTGTTGCGGAGATGGCGTGGACGCTGCTGCAGCGAGAGCGTTCGGAGTGCCCAGGACACGACCTCCACCCAGCGTCCTCCGGGACATGATGAGATGCGGGTTATGGGAGCATGGGAGATAGACCCGCGACAAGTGGTAAGACTAGGCGGGTTTGTTGGCGGGTTTGGGGCGACAGGGCGATGATGAGCGTATCCTGCCTAGCTCAGGCAATCAGGCTGCGGAGCTTATTCGAGGGGGAATGTACTAGCCTAAGGCAGATAATTAATGCCTTAGGCGTTAAGGCGGAAATATCCCCGCCATCATAGGTATCATTCCTCATGTTATTGCTTCAAGATTACTACATTCGGTCCTAATTTCAGAAGCTGATCGCCTTACTGTCTATCTAATGTTTCAAGGTTGGGGTTCATAACGATCGTAATATTTTTTATATCGCTAAAACAACAAGACAAAAAGAACAAACAACAAAGACTGATTTTTTTTTGTGTTTTTCCATCACTTTTTCAACTTTTTTTTCTGTTTTGAAACCCCAAAATTTTCTTTTAGTTTTCAACTCCTCCACAGCAAATGCATATATACCCAGATGCAATCTTCCCTATGTACTGCCAGCGTGTGCCAAAATCCATCTCCATTCCTCCCATTCGCTATCCTCATTATCCCCCTGATCCTCCGAATCTCTATCGCTCATAGTCCCGGTGGTAGCTGGTCCCGGTATTAGGGTTGTCATATTCTCTATGGACACGGACGGTGCCGTCATCGCGGCGATCGACATCGCGGTGTCGATATGTCCCGCTAGGATTCACTCTTTCACGGTGATGCCTCGTCGAGCCATCGGTACGATAGTCCATGTGCTGGTCGTACGCTCCAGTGGTGGGATCGTAGGCGGTTGTGCCGTAGCCGTTGTCGTAGGTGGTGCCGTATGTGCCAGCGGTGGTGCCGTAGCCCCTGGTACCATAGCCTGTGTTGTCATAGGTGGTTCCCGTGGTACCGTAGCCCGTTGTAGAGCCCGTCGTGTCATAGGTGTTGCTTCCCGTGGTACCGTAGCCCGTTGTAGAGCCCGTCGTGTCATAGGTGTTGGTGTTCCCGTACGTGGTTCCGGCGTTATCGGTGTAGTCGGTCATGATGATTGCGTTGTTGTGTTTATCACAACTTGCTAAGACAATATAATTTATTTTTTTTTAGCGGATATCGCAAGAGACTCAGCCTGATTGATACGCAGAATCTGATCTGATCCGGAAAAGACCAAATCCTCTCTGGAGCCTCCCTCGACCTGCCTTATATTATCCCTCGTGGCGGTGGATAGCACAGCAATGATCCCTTTCTGACATCACGGGCGGCGTCAACACCTCAGCGGCAACGAGGCGCGACTGGCCGGAATCGAGCCCAAGGAACGCGTCCGAGTCCGATATTCGTTAAAAATGCCTTCATTCCATTTCGACACGCCTCCTTCCGTGGAAACGGATTTCTTTCCAGACCACCAGGCTGGTTCTGGACTCTGATGATGTATCTCGGAGTGGGCGAGAGCCTCCTTACCACGAGCCACCACCAGAGAAGTGATGAAATTCCCTATTTGGGTAGACTTGCGAGTCACGTTTTCTGGAAAGGCTTAGAACGAGATGGTACTTGCAGATGTCAAAGGTGGCACATTGTGGTAATCATCAGCCGCACTGTTGTGCCGCATTTGCATCATGTTCGAATGTCATGTTGTTCTCCGATATTCTGTCAGTCAGCGAGTTTCTCTCTTGCTCTCGAGTTGTGCTGACGAGGATTGTGATCCTTGCCATGTGCATCGCCATGGATAACTATGTATCAGACCCCTTGAAGAAATCCTGCACTTTGGTCAGCCAATGTTCTAGTGAATTTGGACGTAGACTCACATTTCTATTCCCTGCGTGGACCAACATCCCTTCGTTACGTCCAATCCAACAAAAGAATCTGCATAATAAACATGGTTGTATTCTCTATCCACACGCATCAAAATATAGGGTGCATTTATACACAAGCGAGCGACGCGCTTTGAGTATGCTCGACGAAGAGATAGTCTAGACGTCTACCCACTCCCACATCATTCTAACGCAAAAGAACCAATAGAAAAAATCAAAACTCTAGCTTTAGACCTTCCTCTGTCGTTCCTTCTCTGCCTGACTCTCCAACTCCTCTTGCTTCTTGCGCTCCATCTCGCGCTGCAGTTGATCGGGCCGGCGAACCGCGATGTCCTTGGGCCGGAAGTCACTGAACAGGTTCTTCAACACGTTTTCGATGATCCAGCAACCGGCGTAGTCAATGACCATCAACACAGTCAGTGTGACTTTGAACTCGGTGCTGAATGGAACGAGGCGCATCTTCTCATTCAATTCCGGAATGAACTCGGTGGCACAGGAGAAGGCAACGCCAGAAGCGGCAACCAAGCCCCAGTACATCGCCTTGTTTTCGCGGATGGACTCTCTGAAGGGTCGGCCTTGGTAGTTGATGGAGAAAGTGGATATCTGCTGGATGAGCTGAAGAAGATAGATGGCGCTGTTGAGAAGCGATGGCTCGAATTCACCCTCCAGATCGATGTCGGATTTCCTCCTGGTCAATGTGAGTAACATGAACTGACTATTAAAAGCACAGGGTACTTACGGTTCAATGGAATAGACATAGTTCGACAAGTAGATCAGAGTAGCGATATGGATGGCGAACTGGCCGAGAACGGAGCCGATGATGTACACGTTGAAAATGTTCGGCTGGGGTCGCTCCTTAGACAACCCCTCCACGGACTGAAACGAGAGTTAGCACAACGTGCACGAAGTAATAGATATCGCACGATGTAAACTTACCTTGGCTCGGGAAATTGAAAGGAAGCAAACACTCATGAGCATGCCGCTGATGGTGACCTGACCATCACCAAACTTGATACCGTCAAGGTAGATGACACTCAAACTGTAGGCGCTGATCAGGCAGTTCAGGGCAAGGATCTTGTACATCTGAATAGTCGCCACCAGGGTACAACGACCTTGACGCAGGATGTTGGGGATCGCGATAACATTAGCCAGCTTGCTGGTGAACGGCGCAGCAACCGAAGCGTCTCCCAGCTTGATTGTAGGGGGCTCGCTGTCATCCAATTCCTGCTCCAACATGGATGACGTGAGTTTGTCAGCGAAGCCGGCAGCTGCAATAGAAGCTTGCTGCTGTCGCTGTTGCTGAGGAGTCAGGTTGGCATTGGATTGCTGCAGAGCTTGCGCGCCAGGCGAGGTGATAGTGGGGATATGCTCTTCCTGGTTTCCTGCCGTGGCCAGTGTAGCCAGCGTGGCGGCACCCTTGCGTTGAGCCTCCCTTTCCATAGCCTTCTGATAGTGCGGGTTGCGCGGTCCCGGGGGGTAAAGATGCGCAATCTGGACAGGAACAGGCGGAGCTGGCTGATTGAAGCGTTGCATCATGGCCACCTGCTTCTCATAGATTTCCTTCATCTTCGTCGTGCGGTAGTGTTCCGCGATCTTCGCAAGGTCCTCGGGAGATCCGTTCAGCAGCGCAACACCAACGTGGGCCTGTTTCAAAGCCCCGACGTCGTTAGTTCCGTCACCGCACATCAGAGTGGTGTAACCAGCATCCTTGAGTCCGACAAGAATATCTTCCTTCTGCTTGGGGGACACGCGAGCGTAAACCCAGGTGTGACGCAAAAGGGTTGAGAAAGCCTTCTGACCCTTGAATTTAGCCAAAGCGTAACCAGTGATACAGATGTCCTTTGTCTCGATAATCTCAGGGTCCAAGTCCTGAGTTGGATCCACGTCGCGGTTGAACTTGTCATCGATGGATCTCCACACTAGTCTTGTACCGGACATGTCGTTCTCAGGAGCGTCGAGGATAAGGACGTCACGGTCCACAATCTCAACTTGGCGCGCGACGTGAACGGCTGTCAAGGGGTTGTCGCCGGTGATCATGACCACACGGTGGCTGCTCTCATTCAGCATGCGCACCGCCTTGATAGCGTCATCCTTCAAAGGACATTGAAGGACAAGGAAGCCGGCAAAAATCAGGTCAGCTTCGATTTCTTCACGAACATAACCGTTAATGCGTCCCTGGGACAACTCGGATTCGGCAGAGAGATACTTGTATGCGAGGGCAAGAACTCGAGCACCATTCCGAGTAAAGTACTTGAAGGTCTCTTCATAGTGCGGTGGCGTGTTGACCAACATGGTCCTGATAGTTTCAGGAGCACCCTTGACGCCCACGAAAGTTGCCTTGGTCTTCTTAGACGTCTTACGGTCGGCCGTCACTACTGTAGCAATTGTGCTTTGACGCTTGAGGGCAGAAGAGAACTGGAACCGTCTCTTAATCTGCACAGATTCAACTGCGCGGGGGCCTGCGGGCTGAGCAGCCTTGCTCATGAGAGTGTCGTTCCGGCCCAGAGTCCAGCCGAGCCACTGCAATGTCGCCTTCTCCATGGGGTCACCAACAACTTCGCCTTCGTCCAATTTCACCAGAGCGTGAGCGCTCGCAAGCACAAGGGTCGTGTCGAGTGGGATTTTAGCAGACTTGGCAAGTTCCGTGTGAGCGCCGTCCTTTCCAACATTGGCACCCTCATGGCCCAGGGTGAGACCAGCAATACCGTCGACAACCAGGTCCTCGCCAGTCAATGTGCCAGTCTTGTCAAAACAAGCGATATCGACACGTCCGGCGAAGGGGATACGGAAAGGCTCGGTGCAGAAAATTGCAAACTTGCTCAGGGCAGCCAGACTCGTGTTGACCGCAAGACTGAGCTCCATAGGCAGTTCGGGAGGAACGACGCTAGTGACGATAAGGACGCAATCAAGAAGCAACTTCGATCTCTTGCGATCCTTCGCTACACCCTCCTGCCACACATACCATGCAGCAGCGATGGCGAATATGAGGAGGAAAAGAATGAACAGCAGGGCTTCAACGTTGTTGGCGGAGACGCGCTCGGTGGAATAAATCATGGTACGAACAAGGCTTCCCTGGCTGGTCTCGAAACCGGTCTTCACAACCACACCAACAGCGCCATTGTCCGGAGGAAGGGGAACCCCGGATGAAAGTTTCTGCGCATTCTCCGACCCATCTTCTCCGTTCGAATTGTGATGGGTGATTTGCAATACCTTGGTACCTCCGTGAACAAAGGCGTTCTTGTCCAAACCATCCGGCTCAATCAAGTCGTCTCCGGGTCTAAGCTGGATCGACTCCTTCAGGAGCGGCGTGCTCTCACCCGACAGCATTGCCTCGTTGACAATAGCACTACCTTCGATCAAGAGAATGTCACAAGCAACGCCGCTATCCTCCTTGGTGCGATTAACCGACATTAGATCTCCAGGCAGAAGCTTGTCACTAGTCAGTTCTTGCCACTTCTTTTGGCGGTACACCCAGACATCGTAAGGCTTGATGTTCATGCCACGGAACTCGTTGAGGGTTCTCTGACGTTGCCACACAACGGTGCTTTCGAACACAACCAGCATGAACAGGGTGAACAAAGAATAGTACCAGTATTCGTCCAGCATCCACAAGCCAACGCAGAAGACCTGGAAAACAAAGAAGGGTGCCACGGCATGCTCCTTGAATAGCTCCACGAATGTCGGAACGGGAATATCGAACGTGTTGTCTCCATAGTGATGCTGGATGCGATCGATTTCTTCCTTGGAGGTCAGGCCCTGGGTTTGCTGAAAGACCTTGACGGGGGGCTTGGGCTCCGCGTCGAGGACGTACGACAAGGGCGCGAAACATTGACGCTCCGGGTAGTAGAGAAAGCGGCGCTTCTGGAAGAGGAACGAGAATGACTTCTTTCCACCCATTGTGTCGCAATGCAGAGGGCAAATCTCGGCAGAGCCAGCGTTGGCAACCGGGATCACTTTAATAAGCTGCGCAGAGTCGAGAGATCGGGCCTTGGTCGCGGTGAACAGGGTTTGGATGTTGATGTTCCATTTTGTCATCAACCAAAGGAGGGACTGCGCCGTGATGATCGATCCAGACCAGACGAATGTCCATTCTTGTCCTTGAATGTATGTATCGTAGCGCTCAGGGGAGAGGTAGACGGCGAAGAAGGCAGGCCAGATAATCAGGAAAGGCCACACATAGGCGTGAAGTTGAGTAGGGAGAGGGTTATGCAGTGACGCATATTTAATTTGAGGATCGTCCACGAGTTTCGCCCTAAGCATTGGTCAGTAAAACGGTCATTGCACGCGACAGATTGATGATGTGGGACTAACATGGTGACACTCGAATGACCACGACGGTCAAACGACGCAGAATTATGATTAAGTTCCTCGTTTAGTAAATCATAGGACTAGGCCTCAGGAGTGATAACCTGGCAGTGCCTCAAAAAACACCGAAGATGTCCAAGAACGAGAGATAGGAAACTATCGCGAAGAAGCCACCTTTGGATTCCCTTTTTGAGGTTGCGCCGCTTGAGCCTGAAATAAGTTGGTTTGTTTCTCGCCACCGATTGGCCAACGCCACGTGCCGGGGCTTTCGGACAAAGGTATTTCCGGTTGCTTAAAGGTATCGATTTGTTGACCAATCATCATGCAGTTATGCTTCTCTTCCATGGCTTCAGGGACAACCAGACGAGGGATGAACGGTGCTTGAAACCAAGCAGAAAGGCATGGACTTTGCTTATGTGGAAACTTAGCTGACGCGCCCAGCGCAACATAAGCCTTGGGCAACACTATACCTTGCCCCTGATGGCCTACTGGACACTGACGGGTGGCGTAGTGAAGATTTTCCATAACAGTCAATGCTAACAATTATAAAGGCATTTGCCTCCCTCCCTACAAGCGAGCGAATGATGTCGCCGTTGGAACAAAAAGAAAATCCATGGATCGTTTTTTATAGCAGGATAGGGAACCTGTCTATGCGTCATACTTCATCCGAACTCACAAGGAAAGACTTGTGTACATTCACCCCATGCAAAGGCTCCTGCTTAGGATTCAAGTCCTCCTGGCTGCTACTCTTGCTTCCGCGGGGAGAAGTCTGAATAGTTGTGACGACGGCCCGTGATTCATGGGGATATACGTCAGGTCGCCAGTACTGCGTCGCGTCTCGGTCATGCTTCGATTGGTGTGTCCCATTGCCGTTCCCGTTCATGCTCGAGAGGGGCACGCTGCCGAATGTCTTCTTCGTAGTTTTGCTCCTTCCATAACTGGTGCCGCGGAACCAACGGAAGAGTGGACGGAGAGTCACGAGACTACCGGCCATTATACCCAGCGATGCCTCGACGTTAGACCAGATACTGATGTCCGTTGTTGCATCTGTGTGAAGTCGGTTGATGTTAGCGCGCGATAGAACCATTCGCCGGAGAGACTTACAAAGGAACTCATGGTCTTTGTATAAGTGAAGGTAGGGGATGCGAACGATGACGGCAGCGCTGGCTCTGAGCAGGAGTTAGAAAACAATTTCGAGGCAAACGAGACGCGACTTGGAGACAAACGTACATGCATCCCAAACTCAGAATAGCAGCCAATGCAATTTTTGTCTTCCGCGTCATTTGGAGCTTCCAGACCAGCGAGATGGGCAAAAGACCTAGAACAAAGTCGCACAGTGTGGCAGTTACACTGTAAAGATAGGCGACGTTGATGATAGTGTCCGTATTCAGGCAGGTTCCTTTCGCTCCAGGTGATAATCGGTTCCAGAAATACGACACCGGTTTGCATTGCAAAGTCAGGACGAACCAAAACACAAGACCAACCACGATGGTCACTCCAATGACAGTCCACAGAAGGACTGTATGCAGTTTTGTCACGGTGAGACGGAGGAGGGCTACCGCGATCGAGATTTTGGCGACCACGCACGTTACTACGTAGCTTGTCTGACCGAGCCACCACCACTATGAAACAGACGAGCGTAAGCATGATAAACCCAGTGGCGCACAGGACAGAGTGAAGGTGGTTTGAAAGACATACAAATAGTGCTGTCGAGAACTGTTCCACATTCTCCAATTTGCGGCCCATTCCATACAGGGAGCCTGTTATACCGCATAAGGCGAACAAGATGTTCAAGGCCTGCGAGGGAATGAGTCCGAAGTTCTCGCAGAGCACGGAGACATGCATACCATTGCGGCCACCATGATAGTGTCATCCCACCCAAAGGCCTTGACCAACTTCAACCGGACAAAGCATCGTAAGCATACAGCGATGAAAGACAGACCCAAAAAGACAACAGTGACGATAAAGATCGACGCGCTGCGATCTGGAAAATGCAGCATGATGACAGGCAGTTAAGAAGTCGCCTATGGGTAATTCCTCATGACTGTACAACACCTGATGGCATGATCTCAATGACGGGGCGACACTATGAGCACGAGGGTCAAAGTTGCAGGTCGGAGTCAGTCTCGAAGTCCCAGAAGCTCTCAATAATCAAATGTGGATCATGGTCGTTCTTAAGGGAAAAGAGACCCAATTTACTAGTTCCTAGCATTGTTACAGCAAATAACCTACGCATTATAATAGCCGCAGAGCACAAGGCAAAGTCAATTCCGGCACTCAAAAGTTTAGCTGTCAGAGTGGCGATTAGCATTTGCACTCGCGAATTGCCGAATGGAGCCAACCATGGTTGACTATGTTTAAGAGCAGTGGAGATTCATTTTAATGACCGGTGACAGTGCTGAGTACGGAGTAGTAATGCAGCTGCTAATAATGGCTACCTATACAGTAATGCACGCCGAAAAGGGGGGAACCATAGTTGGGATTGGAGGGAAATGCAGAGCAGTACCCCAAGGTCATAAACTTCTTTTCTTCTTTTTCACATGGCAAATCCTCCTTGCTTGGGCTAACTCTCGCTGTCGTCAGGGCCAAAGTTAATCGAGTGCCTAGGTTACTACGCACTACCTAGGTTTAGAGCGCTGCCAAGGACCGTAAGCGAGATCGAGCCTGGAACGAACTTGCCAGGAACAGCATAGATTCGCACTCTGCTGCCTCTGCAGGCTGAAGCTGGGGGTTGCTGATGTGTACCTTGTCCCATAAGTAGTCTCAGCCAGAGCATCGACACGTGCAGGAGTAGCAGTTTGGAAAAAGATATTGCCAATTTGCGATGGTTGAAGGAAATTAGCGACGCATTATCTATCCTCTACGAGTAAGGTCGCGAAGCCGCAACTGGTATCTACATAATGCAGAACGACGGGTGAGCGGCAGAGGTAACATAGCCATTGTAGCACCACCATTATTTGTCAAGTCAAGTCTGACAGACTGGCATACGACCCGGGCTCGAAGAAGAAAGTGGGCACTCGTTGTCGGGAATCTGGATTGTGGAGATTTTCGTTCGTCGATTCTCAAGAAACGGGGCGCATAGGCACACACACAGACAAGCACCTGCGCATCAGCCAGTTCATGCCTTGGGAGTTGCTTGGGATGCCACTGGATGGAAGTCCGTGGTACGGAGACCGCCGGGAAGTACTGAAACTAGATGTCGATCTGACAGTTGATTTCCACTCTATCATCCCTTGCTGCCCTGCTTTTATGTAGCAACATCGACAGAAGTTTGGTCAACACCTATCTATCCTGACTCACTTGTCCCTGGAAATCGAGTTTCAGCAAACCTAAGCAAAAATGGCACCCATTGGCCGACGAGGATCTTTGCCATCATGGGCAAAAGGAGGACACCTTTTTTAGTTTGGTTGCAACAGCCCACATTTCATGCACCTAGATCGCGCTAACGATGGCCACTACAGTAGTTATTAATAATATTCTGCTCTCTTCCCCGTGCATAAGCGTCGAAGCACGGGATCTTTTTGACAAGGAATGCTACCATGGCATTGGGTTGAGCCTACATTAGTCGACTTGAGAATGATTGTAGTCAATCTAGTATAATTGTGTGGCGCGTCAAGTCTGGAGAAGCAGAAAGTCTTGTGTCTACAAAGTAGAGTTCGGCTAAACCCAGGCTTGTCTTCACCAAGGAGTGAACTGCCGAACAAGGTTCAGAATCGGGCACAGATCTTCCAGACAATCGATATCCGGCATTTTGTCAGTTTCACTTGGCGATCGAAGGTTGCAAAATTTGGATCGTCCTCTTGCAGCCGAAGTTAGCTCATAAATGGCTACGATCTCCGAAACTTGCTCTCTTCCGTATTGCACAGAAAAAGCCTTGTTCTAGAAATTCTCCCCGACGCTTTTTACAAGGGTACCCCTGAATCTCTAAATACTCAACTTTACGATCAGCGATGCTGTGTTCACTGATGGTACGAGACTGATATGTCTTATGTTCAGTCCAGACATCTAGACTCTGAACTGGACGCCTCCTGGAGGTGGCACGGCTTGTTTCACAGCAAGTTGGCTAGCGCCTATACGTTGTCGATCAGCTAGTACAGAAGGGTAGAGCAATCAGCATTCGAAATCCACTCAGTATTCTACGATTTTGACTCAACTAACAAGCTTACCACGGGACAAGCCTATTGCTCCTTCACCTTGAATGCGTTCTCTGCAAGCCTGAAACGGGCCAAGTCATGATCCTGTAGCTTGGTAACGGCAGTCCAGATTCATTGATAAGCTACTTCCGACGGATGGCCTTGAAGCCCAGGTACTTGTCAACTGACTGATCTGCCGGCCGAGAACATTTGCCGGCATTCAGTCATTGACGCAATTACAAGCTTGAAGCAGCTGAGACTTTCTGAATAGGGCTATCTTGACTCATGTCAAGCGACTCAAGCCAACTTGTCAGCTCGCTTAACGGACGTCAGAGTCCTAAACAAAGTGGATCCGCGACAGAAAAGGAAAGTCATGTCCTTTCGTGTCGACCGCGCATCGGTCTTCTCCGATCAGAAGACCGATCTGACTATGACATCGTCTCCTTGTCAGACATTTAAAGGAATCGAGGCATGCGCCCTAACTTTTCAACATCCGTATGGAGTGTTCACGTTGGACTTTAGCTACCATGCTCGGTAGCGCGACTCAAATGCCGGAATATTTACAGAATAGAATCATAGTAGGGTTACATCGTATCATTCTGCTTGACTCCCAGACGTTCTACTGAAATAGCAACATATCAACGTTTCATCTGTCTCGGATTGTCTCGATTTATATCTACTCTGGGACTAGCTGGTTTGGATTTCCTCGTTCTCAAGACCCATCGATCTGCTTGCACAGGCTTGAAATGGTAGACCGACGTACGATGGCAAAGTCGGCGGGGTGGGTTCATGGCTTCCAATGCTTCTCTTGTCGAATAGGCGGTTTTATCGAACAGAGTTTACTATATACAAATGCTAGAGCCTCTTCACATCCAACACCAACCGCATCTCTTATGGTTAATACAGAGCGGCTCTAGCATCTTGATACTGGTGTCTCGAAATATGCCCAACATTTGGTTGCTTTCAAAGCAAATGGCTGCCTGGCCCGCTATATCCTATTAAGCTTGTTCACAGCTTATCATCTCGCAGATGCTATATATGTACACACTGACAATCTTAAACGCTTGCTAGCACATACAGTGAAAGCGTTCGGTGGTAGAAGCCTAAAGCTTCTATGCTGTACTCCTGCAGCATGATGTTTACCACTTCGCCTCCTTGCTACTCAGGAACGCGTTCAGAGTCGCGACGATCTTCTCCAAAGCCTCAACCTCCCGCTTCAAAGCAGCATTGACCTTGTCGGAGTCGCTACCGAGCTTCTCGTAGAAATCCTTTCTGTACGGCGTGGCAGACATCGCGGCGGAGAAGATGGGCTTGACAACGAACGAGTGGTGGGGCTTGAGTGTGTTGCCGTAGGCTTCACGGAAGGAAACCGACAGTTCAGTCTCCTTGTCGAGGTTGTGACGGAGAGCTTGAACGGTGAAATCAAGGCCACTGTCGAAGTCATAAAATGTTAGTTTCACTGTCATCTCGCCAAACATATGCTTGACTTATTTCATGTCCACCTGCTGGTGGATGCGGAGAACGTACCGGACAAGCCACAACAATCCCTCGGTGGCGACGTGCTTTCCAGTCTTCAATTCGTTCACGACAAGTGCCTGGAGAGTCTCAGACTCAGCAGGGGCAGCCAGCTGCCTGTCTCTAACTTTCTATACCGCCGTTAGTCTTGCTACAGTGGACACGTAAAATGAATGATACCTTAATGTTTCCGAGGAGGTCGTTCTTGACGGGGGCAAAGCACTTGCTACCGAGGAGATCTAGAACAGTCATTGAGTCAAAATCAGAACTTCAAAGCAGCTCATAGAAATCCGTTAGACACATACCGAACAGGGTCACCAAGGACTCAGCGGCCTCGAGGAACTCAGTGGTCGAAATGCCATTGTCATTAACAGGAACATCGGCGAAAGACCGCTTGAGAGTATCGAACCAAGTACCACCAGGGGGAATAGCGGCAGCCATTATGAAGAATGTATTTGACCACAAAAATGTACAATTAAAACTGGAGAGAAGATAGAAATGAATAATGATGATGGAAATTGAGGGGAAGAGACAGCTATCAACAATAGCTGAGCTGTCACTCACCGCCAGTAGCAGTACACGCAAGCCACAATAAGCGGGGCGGGGCGACCCCTGAGCATAACGGCAAACAGTAAAAACATACCAAACTAAACAAATGGTGCAGACGGTGTAATTGCACGTGATCCGTGACATCATCGCCCTTGACATCAGCGATCGTCTGGTGCCTGAGGAAACTGTTTCCCTGCTGTTTCAGATTGTCCTCCACTCCTGAATATCAATCCCTTAAAGAATGCCTCGATTACACACAGTGGACTAATCCACCAATGCTTTGCATACAGTTTTCCTTCTGCTAGTTCCGGGGGTCGTGGTGAAATCCGATGAGCACTCAAAGCCCTGCTGATCAGTATGTCACCGCTGGAAGGATGGAGACAGCCCAAAGCGTGTTCGACGAACACCAGCATGGGCTTGAGCCATGGTCTTTTACGGCCGAAAGATTAGTAAGTATCTTACCAATAAGTTCGCTAGGAAGATGCAACTTGTAAGTAAGAGATATCTCGGAGCTGACTGACGGCTTTAAGCGATATGCCTCCGGCTATCACTTGCACATGACAAATAGAAGATTTTTCATCGGACCAATTCCCGAGGGCTGGCTGCAGCATCACCGCAAGCACTGGTACAAAACCAGACTCAAGTTTCGGAACTATACTTCGAGGGCTGTTACGTTTACCGCAGACACAACCACCCCTACCGCAGATCAGCCGGAACCAGAAGCAGCCTCATCATCTGCTCGAAAGCAGGATACCTCACTGGCTGATACTACGATCCAGGTGGCGGTTGAAGACAGGTCAGAGGAGGAAGGTGATGATCGCGAGACGGATGAGCAGCCTGATGGCCTCCAGTCCATACCGTATCCTTTGACAGAGGCCGAAGCTCCCCCCGGGGAAATAACCGTCCTAGATTCGTCTCAGGAACAGGGCGAACCGCAGCTCAACAGTGAATCAACTAAGAAGAAGAAAGGAGCACCGACAGCATTTTATACAGCTAGAGAAAGCAATCCAGGAACAGCTGAGCAAGATGGCCGCACCACTGAAGCAGAAAGCAGGCGGACGTTGAGTATCCCTAGCCAAGATGATGCCAGTCAGTCAGCTCCCATGGCACCCGTTAGCGAATATGGCTCTACGACGGCATTGCTAAGGCCTAGTTTGCGTTCTAAAGGGAAAGGTAAGCTCAAAGCCTTGCCTTCTGCCAGCCTTGGGCGACAGGAGCCGCAGAGTGAAAGAGAAGACGATGTGATCGATCCCCGGCTAAATAGATATTCTACAACTTCACTCGGCGGAAAAGTGAAAAGCTACCAATTGGATGACAAGCTCATGGACAGACAGCAGCGTCTAATGTCCCGTATAGCCTACACCTATGATGTGCTCTCAGGCAATCGTCGACAACGGCGCAAGCTGCGTGAGGGCGAGATTATCCGAGCGGAGAGGATGCTTGTTCGCGTCGAGGTGACTGTGCAGAAGGAGCTCCCGAATGACTACACTGAAAATGATAGCCTCAGGTTGGAAACGAAGGTTGCAGAGAGTTGGAGGGAGTTCCTTGTCGTCTGTCGGCTAACATCCGACGCCGAGTCATCTGTTGCGCTTCAGATGTATAAGACGCGTGTCGTTCCGGAGATACAAAAGTCAAATTCCAGGGTCAAACCCTACCACGAAATCGCCTTGAATCGCAAGAATACCAAGGTAAACCTCTACTCTTGCTTGGATAAGACCATTGTGATTTGGAGACCCTGCAAGCGTGGCACCAAGATATACATAATTCAGCCCAAATCCGCAGTTCATGCCACTGAGTGGTTTACGTTTATTTATCAAGCGTTGGGACGGCACCGTCCAAGTTCATTATCCATCAATGTCCCTGATTTGGGCGTTTCTCTTGTCTTTCAAAATCCCTTTGAGCAGTTGGAGTCCAAGTGGGAGGCTCAGAATGGGGACAATAGCGATGGCACACCCGGTCAATCGAGAGATCGCGTAACCGATGTTGCTGCGGCTATCATTCGGGGTTGTATGGACCTGCTCGAAAACCGCACCGAATGGGCGGAAGTGCTACGCGAGTGGTCAAAAACCGAGAAGATGGGCCTGGCCTGGAAGCGCTACGACAGACTGGAGTGGGTGGTTGGCCTGGGCGAAGAGAAGATGTACGGATCTCTTGCAATGCAAACCACCCACCAGCTTCAGCTGCGACCAAGGCAACACTATCAAACATTCGTCAAGAATGGTGATGAGAAACTCGAAGAGCCACAACCCGTGGAGGGCTTCTTGGTCCGTTTGACATCTCAGAGAGGAGTGCATCAACGGATGAACAGGATGTTTTTTAAACGTCTCTATTTTTTCACACAAGATCATTATCTTTTGTTCTGCAGACCAGCGAAAGCCCTGCCTCCTACTCCTCCGAAGCTTTGCTCGGAAGAGGCTGGCATACCCTCAGCGCGGCAGATATTGAACGAGATGCCTCTCTCATATGACGTTGATCCCTTTCCAATCCATGACGGCGAGATCACATGGATGTCTAGCGGGAATGAGGCCCACCTGAAGGAACATGATCAGAACGCCTATGCACATACCAAGAGGTCCATGCACAACCTCACCCATGCGGATGGGTTCATCGATCTTTGTAAAGTTCGTGAGGTACGTCAAGTGTGGCGTGGCAGCTCCCCTGCAGATCCAAACATCCGGGAAGGTCCCGATGTCGAATTCAACCCTGAGGCGCAAGACACCCATCGGGATGATGGTGCGACAAAGCAATTTGACGATGATCGAACTTTTGAAATGGTACTTGAGAATGATCTTGTTGTTCGACTGCAGGCATATGACAAGACCACCAGGGACGAATGGATAAAGAGAATGGACGCGCTGGTCAAATATTGGAAAGCCCGCGTTGCAGCCGACTCGGTTGAGCTCAAGGCTATTCGGCAGCGCAATCTAAATATCTTGGGCATCGATGAAGGAACTGAGTCCGTGGTAGGACAGTTCTCCAAGGAATGGGAAACAAAGAAGTCAGAAGCATCACCCTTGTTGCACAACATATGTACTCTATCGGGTTGCCGGACAATAAAGGTACGCCATGCGAAGCTACTGCAATTGAATCACATACTGACCATAAGGTTGCAGATGTCCGGTCAGCTCTTTCGAAAACCTCGCCGCCACTCTACCTTCAAGAGGTGCGATGTTATTTTGGCTGCCGGGAAGCTTCTGATCTTCCATAGCTCATTGCGGAAGCGTACTGGCGTCGAGATTCCTCATGTTCATCAGAGTCTCGAGAACACATTGGACCTGGAAGACTGCTACATCTACTCGGGTCTAATGACCGAGTCTGATCTGCTCTACGCAAACCGGACTTTCGACAGCAACCATCCAGGCCACCATGCCTTACCTCGCATTTACCTTTCATCCGATGTCTATACCACCTGCGACGAGGACACAGCTATCACGTTCGTCGTCTGGCAGCCTCTACGAAAAAATTATTTTAGGGCACAGGAGCTCAGTAAGAAAGGGAAAACGAAGCAGAAGCTGAGGCAAGTGTCTACGCTCGGCGTCCCTGGACGGACTGTGGTATTCAAGGCACGGAGCCGGATAGAGAGGGATCGTTGGGTCATGAGTATTTCATCCGAGATAGATCGATTGCAGGAGGAGAAGCCGGAAGACATGCGCCTAATCAAACCGCCGAATGATTGATTCGGCTTTGTCGTTTCCGGCACTGGCAAGACGCCAGAGTAGCTCTTTAAGGCTGCTTGAGCCAGGCTGTTTCGTTTGGATCACCTTGGCATATCATTGTTCATGATCACATTCTTGTATCTTACACTCTAATATTAATACACGACACTATATACAGTGCATCAAGAAAACATATCTGCAAGGAGCCGAGGCATAGGACCTTACTATTCTATTTGAGGTCTTTCCAACTTGACAGCCTCCTTCAACACCCGTTGCCGGACATCCTGGCGATAATTCTCCCCAAACCTATGATCCCCATCACCTTCAACAACCCCCTTCTCCCAATCCCGCCATTTGAGCCACCTAAACTGCGGCCTCAACACGGCAATCACTCGGCCCGTGATGAGACTAATGCTCACAGGCCCATACGTATTGCTATCAAGCGACTTCTTCGGATCCTCCGCATCACCCTCCAACCAGACATGATTGAACGGCACAATCTGCGACGCCTTCATACACGGTTCACGAGTCGTGATCCGATCACCGGGGAGACCGATAACCCGCTTGATAGCGGTGTGTTTAGGATTAGCAGGCGACCTAGGACCACGCATACCGTTAGCATATTCATATTCCTTCCATCAATCGCAATCGCATAACCAGATGTAGAAGTAAAGCGAACGACCCACCGAAAAGTAACAATCATCCCCCGTTCCAACCTCCGTTTCCGCTCCCACGGCCACCCCGCCCCGCCGAACGGCCACATATTCACCAGCACCATATCGCTCTTCGTATGCATGGTTTCGTAGTCCTCGTTCAGGAAGGGCGTCATTGACGGCCCCCGCACCCACATTACCTGGAGGACATGTTCGGAGAAGAAGATCCCGATGGGGACGATGGGTGCTAGTATGCGGAGGACGCGGAAGGTCCGGCGGATGGGTGTTGGGAGGGTCGCGTAGCGTTGGCGGAAGAGGGAGGAGAGAGACGGTCGGTTGGGACGAGGTGATGACTGCGGTGGTGTTTGCGTTTGTGTTTGGGGGAGTGAGGGCGAGGGATATGCGGCGGCGCTGGCGGGTGCGGAGGCGGAGGCGGAGGCGGAGGGTGGTGTGGTCGGCGGAACAGGTGATCTGGATGATCGTATTTTGGCCATTTCCGGTGCGAGGACTCTGAATCTTGAGGTCGTTTTGCCTGTCGGTGGCCCCTCTGGTGTGGGCTGAGGTGGAGGCATGTTTGTGGTCG